TGCTGCGACTAAGGTGTTGTTCTGGAGATTTATCATTGGTAGGATTGTTTCTCTTGTTGTATAGAGGTTATTGCTCAACAGAGGGTCGGTCGCTGCGTCGAGGTTACACTGTATGAATCAATGAAACAAGAGTGTTTTGTGAAGTCTTGACAGTGGTGGTTTTCATGATGTGACATTAAAACAGGTTTGACTGTTGTATGGAGTGGTATTTTTAAACTCTGGATTAACTGTACATGTGAAAGTTGTCAAAGACACAGTATTGAAAAATATAATTGGATGCTAAAGTTACAATTCATCAAGTGACACTTAACTACACAGCACTTGTTAACAATTGGTTATTATTAGGAAAGACTTTATAGAGCCCTTGACAAATACAATCCTCCCAGCAAGAAAAGCTGGGGGGGAAAGAGGACTTCTACTTATACACTCAATAAGTACTGGCTTAGCCGTTTGTTTCATCCGAGTCTTATAAATGCTTGATCTTTGTCTCAGTCTCTTTAAGGCTTGATCAAACAAAGCTTGCTCATGGTCACACAAAGGTTTGTCATTCAAGTTTAAGCATCAGTTGGATGTGAAATGAAACAAGATTGGAAAGTGTGTGGTACAAGGATTTGGATTTGTTGATGCATGTGAAATATTGGTATTTAACCATACCTGATGATGTTATATGAAGAATTAAAGGTATTATGATATTTATTGCATGGTATTCTGTGTAATATGACAGTTATTGCACAGCTTTCTTTGTAATATGATTATTATTGCATAGTATTCTGTGTACTATGATAGTTATTGCACAGCTTTCTTTGTAATATGATTATTATTGCATAGTATTCTGTGTACTATGATAATTATTGTATAATATTCTGTTAATATTAAAACTATTAATCAATAATTATTATTTAAATAATAGATGTAAAAATGTTTCTGAAATGTACAAAATGTGTCTGATTTTGTGGAATATTTAATCTTTATTATAAATGGGCATTAAATGCAAGAATGCCTGTCTAAGAGTAGTAATATTATTCTTTGTAATGGGTAATTTGTTAGTTTTATGTTTTAGTTATAGCCAATTACAGGGATATTTCATATATTTATGTTGTATTATATGTTTTTTAATTGACTCTTGAATTGATTGTAGCACTAAGTGGTAGGTATATGTCACCAATATGGAGCCAGGTACTTCTAATGATCTTTGCAGATAAAATAATTGACTGTAAAATGCAGTCAGAAAAACTGAATAATCATGCAGTGCAAAAAAATGACTGTTTGCAGTCAGAAAAACTGACTGTTTAATGTAGTCTGAAAAACTGACTGTATTATGTAGTCAGAAAAAATGACTGTTTGAAGTAGGAAAAACTGACTGTATAGTGCAGTAGGAAAACTGACTGTATAATGTAGTCTGAAAAACTGACTGTATTATGTAGTCGGAAAAACTGACTGTTTGAAGTCGGAAAAACTGACTGTATATATAATAAAATGCAGTTGGAAAACCGACTGTTTTCAGTCAGAAAAATTGACTGCTCTGCTTTTGTACTGTGATCATGATTGTACTCTCGCTAACCAAATATAAAAACATGACTAGTGCATTAAGCAAAATTCAGAAATGCTTGAATGAAACAATCAAACCTGCGGCTAATGTTACGTTTTCAGGCTCAGTTAAATTAAAGTATAATAACCTAACAATGAATACACATTTTGCGACAGGATCTGAAACAATAGATTTTAAATATTAATTTTTATTCCTCTGATTTTCTTGAATTGTAAAACAAAATTGTCCAGTTTCTACTTGATTTGAACAGACTCCCATTTCCTAACTCTGGGAATGATATTTAGTTAACTTAAGCCAAAAAGCATAGGACTTGGTTAGACAGTATGGCTGGCCGGGCTTTGGTTGTTAAATCTTCTCAGTTCTACACAAAAAAATGAAGGAAAAGCGAAAAGTTGGTTTATTAAACATGCAGGATATATACATGTATGTGACTTGGGCTTACTTACATTTAAACATGCCAATTAACTCAACTTTGAAAAATCAAAAGAACGTTCAATGTATACATTTCTTTAATTAAACTGATAATAACTGTTTCTCTAAGACAAATTTTTGTTTTGTTTATTTGATCGAAATATTCTTTAGTTTTTAGTTCATTCCTTATGAATATGGATTTAAAGAAAAGCCAATCTAGTTAACTTTTGGTGTTTCCTATAAGGAAATCATGCTATAGTCGTTATAATATTTGATTCGGAGCTGCTCGGCAATCACATGAGGGGATCATAAATGCAAATGGAGTATTTATGGAATGCATATTATAACGAGAAATATATGTAAATTGTGATAATAACTGGCAAACGTATAAAAGACTGCGGACAATTTTGCAAAATGCCAACCTAAATGTTATTCGAAATTGGTCCCTATTAACGCTTGTACTCGAGTGGTTTTAAGTTGGGATTAATTATTCCCATTGAAGCAGTTAGTTGGTTAGGAATTATTTGTAATTTTCCGGGACGGTATATCACATGTCCGGGACTCCAGTCTAGATGTGATTTTACATGGTGTTGTACAGTAGAGGAATAGGAAATGAGGATTTTTTTTTCTTTTTTACTGAGACTTTGCTGTATTGAAATTCAGGTTTTTGGCACATTATTCAAATATTGATGAGTTGTGTTGACTGATTAGATAATATTGCATTGTGTTGGATAATACTGTGGCTAGTTTATTTAGATAATACATGAACATTGTGTTGCAGTTTTGATATTGTTAATTTGGACATTATGATGCAGTTGTGTTGGATAATATATGGACATTATGTAGTGTGTGTTGCCTGATATCTAGCTGGGTATGATTGGAATTGATATTTTAGAATTGTGTTGCCTAATATCCGGACATTAATGTTAAGATTTAGATGTATCACTATCTAGTTTTAAAGTTGAAACTAAGTGAAAATATCCTGTATATGTAAAGTGTATTTTATTTATTGATGCAGTATTATGAGACTGCTTTATTGGAATACATATTTTAGCTATTATTATAATTTTATTTTACTAACGTACCGGTGATTTTTCTCACTTAATTGGGAAGAGGCATTGGCCTCTTGATTTTTGGAAAAATAATCGCTAAAATTACTGATTTGGGAAGTAAAAAAGCTGGTGTAAGTTGAGATTTTTGGGAAAACTGCATGATTTTAAAGGAAATTTCAATTGGGAAGCGGTCCTTTTTCGGAGTCTGTTTTATAAGTAGGAAAATCACTGCATACAGTATTTTTGTATTGTAAGACATTGTATTAAGAAACCATCCCTGTAACAAAGAATTTTGTTGTATTTATATAATCAGCCATTTTACAGAAATTTTGATGAAGAAATGTTGAAGATTTTAAAGATACTGTAACAATATGCCTGTCGCCATAATGTCTCCGTACTTGTGTAAAATCCTGGAAATACGGGTAAAAAAGAATTAATGAGTGAAAGAGAGAAGGGGGAAAAAAAATATCCCCTTCGAAACCAGATTTGAACATGCTTGTTACAGCAGCTAGTACTGTTGTTTTAGATTCATTTAATATAAAATTATTTACATTTAAATAAATGCTGATGATTTAGCAAAAAAATTATTTTTTAAATACAGAAAACACTGAACAAGAATCGTGTGACATAAATTATACAAATATATTCTATGTTTTACAAAATGTATAATCTTATTATTTATCTATATTTTATGTCAGTTGTTTTATGACGGAAAGTACACCCAAGAGTTCAATGTCCATATTACTATTTCATGTCACAAATGTTTATTCAGTTCAATATTCATATTGATATTTCATTTGACAAAATGTTCAATCTAGAGTTCCAAATGACAAAATGTTCACTCCAGAGTTCAATATTCATATTTATATTTCATGTGAAAAAACGTTCACTCAAGAGTTAAATATTCATATTGCTATTTCATGGGACAAAATGTTCAATGAAAACTCCAGAGTTCAGTATACATGCACATGGCTATTTCATGTGAAAAATTGTTCACTCTAGAGGTCAATATTCTTATTGACGTTTCATGGACAAGTACAGTTGTATATCTTGACATCCAGTCCCGTACGGGGAATTCAACATTCATTTTCAAATGATAGATTTGCAAATTTTTGAAAGAAGTCATAATGTGAATGTATTTCTTCAGTAACAAGATGTGATAGATTTGACGTCAGATTCCGTGTTCCGATTTACATATTCTTTCCCCTTAACTAGATAGAGACATATTGCCCTCTAGTTTTTACATGAAGAGTTTTTCTACTGTCGAACGTACAGTTATTGGTGTACAGGGAAGATATTTTTAAAGTTTTTGCACGCTATTTGGAAAATTGATTTTTCTTTTGACGGCCTTTTTCGCCATAGTTTCTTCGGCTGAATTTTGGAATACTGATTTTTGTAAAAAGGATTTTTGTGAATTGGAACACGAATGAACAAAGGATTTCATGATTTTTATGTTGATTGAATATTAGCTAGAAATCTAAGGAACAATTATATCTTCTCTTAGACTTAATGAAATTGTGTTAATACTCTGTGCTATATATCACCAAGAATAAACTATTTGGACTATTTGAATCAGTGTAAATTATTTGGATTATGTGGAGAAGAAAATGAGACCTCAGGATTATAACTTTAATATATAAACTCTGACAGGGTTGTTTAAAGAAAATTGAAAGAGGATTGTGCTGTTTAAAAGTATAGTTTATAGTTTAAACATACTTATTTTTGAGTTCGATTGCGAAACAAGTTCTTGCAACTAAATATATTAATCACTTTCGAGACTTCAGGTATCTAAGTGCGTATAGTGTAATATTACATAAAAAGTAACATTGTTGTTTGAATTGGCAACATTAGTAAACTGAAATGTTGGATGAGTCATTCATCATAATAAATATGTTGTTAAAATAGACAATGTACATTGCAGGGTATATAATCTACAGAGTTTGATTATTATAAAATTTGTTGTTCATGGTGGTTATTTCTATTTTCAGCAAATGATTTTGGTTTATTTCTGGCCGATGATGACCCTAAGAAAGGACTATGGCTGGAGATGGGAAGATCCCTGGATTATTATCTCCTCAGAAGTGGGGTATGTCACATTATTGTTGTACAGTCATGTACTTTTCACTTTTTCTGTTCTTTAATCAATATCCGCAGTCACTCTCACATTATCTGTTAAAAAGTTACTCTGTCCTGCAACTAACCTCTTAACCTCCTAATTTTGTGTGCTGAACTGGTCTGACTTTCCATATTTGGGACAGTCCATTATCTGTTTTGGGGATAAACATTTTAAAGGAACTCCACTGTGGCCAAAAAATTTAAAAACAAAAAAAAAATTTTTTTTTACAAAAATCAGTTGAAGCACTTAAAACAGAAATGCAAAAGATAATTTAAAAAAAAAATATGTTAAAAGGTTGGTTTTCTTGTGTCTATGGAACCTTTCCTGTTGAATTGCTCGCATTTAGAAAAGGGTAATGACATATAAATATATTTTATTAGGACAATCTTTCTTGTGTGAAATAAAGGATTGATGTGCATGTAATTGTTAAATTGACATTATGGTTAACTTTCTATTATTTAAAGATAGGTCATTAGATATGACCTTTTTAACACAATTGCCTAGGATTTAAAATTGGCGATAATGGAAACCTTAAAAGGTCAGTCAATATTGCTAACTTAAAAATCTTGCAGTGAGTCTGTTTGTGGAAAGGCCCTGTTAAAGTGTATGCTGATATATGTGACAAAAAATAACAACAGAAAAATAATGTTGTTTCATAACCTTATGATCGTTTCTTGAAAGATTTGTGACATTGATATGCTTTGCACTGAATCAATGTCTCGGCATGTTTATTTTGCTGACAGCGCAAGGGTGAATATATTCAATTTCAATTATTTTTTTCTCAGGATCTTCTGGAGTACAAGAGTAAAGTTCGAATCCTCAAAGTTCGCACCTTAGATGGCACAGTGAGGAAGATGCAGATAGATGACAGCCACACTGTCGGACAGTTACTTATTAATATTACATCTAAGATAGGTAAACTGTGACTTTATTTTCTTATATTTTACAGCCGAATAAAGGCTGTTTCCCCTATAAATAGAGTAAATATTCCATCATTAGTTGTTGGAATTTAATTTCAGGTTTTCCCTCTTTTTATGATTTATCATGCTATATTTTCCCCGGTTGTTTGGAAAATTGGAATAAATAGGTATTGGTACATATTGTGAAGGGTCTCTAGAACATTGCTGTAAAGCTATAAAGTTATACAACAAAATGCACCAGCACAGTTAGTCTGAAAAGTTATACTGCATTAACTTATGCCTAATAGTGAAGAAAGTTTCTGGAGTTTGATTTTTGTAACTTAACAAATGCTGACGTAACAAAGAAGCATGGCCATGACCCACAGTTAGGCTTGAACCCAGAGATTCACAATCCCCGGATTAAGAGGAAGACTGCTTAACCACTAGGCCACTGTTTGCTTTTATACATGTGACAATTCTAATAGTAGTTATGTAACATACAGCATTTATCTCCCTTAGGACATATATATTTCCTGACTATGTCAGTTATACATCAAATTACATGTATAGGTATGTATAGCCATGCCAGTTTATCTCAATTTTAACTTTATTTGTGTGACAGGAATAACAAACCACGAAGAATATTCACTGATTGTGGAACTACCAGATGATGAAAAAGAGAAAACATTGACATTAAAGAGAGATAAATCTATAGCTAAAGATCAGAAGAAGTTGGAGGAGATGAGGAAAAAATTGCATACTGAAGATGATAGTGAGTAACTAACTTATATATATACCATCTGCATTATCTCACTACAGTCCTCATATATATTTCATCTGCATTATCTCACTACAGTTGTCATATATATGCCATCTGCATTATCTCACTACAGCCATCATATATATTCCATCTGCATTATCTCACTACAGCCATCTGCATTATCTCACTACAGTCATCATATATACCATCTGCATTATCTCATTACAGTTCTCATATATATTCCATCTGCATTATCTCACTACAGTCATCATATCTATTCTATCTGCATTATCTCATTACTGTCATCATATATATGTCATCTGCATTATGATTTATCATACATGAGCTATTATATACATATGTATATGCCATCTACATTATTTATCTGAATACAGTCATTATATGTATGCCATCTGCATAATCATACTTCAGCTATTATATATATATGTATATGCCATCTGCATTATCTCATTACAGTTCTCATATAAATGCCATCTGCATTATCTTACTTAAATCCTCATATACTTGTTTATGCCATCTGTATCACTCAGTCATGAATTGATTGGTTTAATACCATGACTAGTAGGGTCATTCAGTTAATGGAACATTGAAAATTTTGATAATTACATGTAATCAAATGCGCTTAAGCAACAAAAATTAGTTCCAGCAATGGGAATAGTGTTAAATCCAATCATAAAGTTACTGTAGGGATTTTAAAATTTGATAATTTGAATGATTTTTATTGTTCATTTATATTTTGTGACTTCTCTTGAGTTATTAATGGAGTCATGCTGGTGTGAAACAGATAATTTAAACAAGCTAAGTGCAGCTGGGATATTGAAAATCTAAATTAATCGTGGGTTTTTGACATAATGCTGTTGTTGATAATTGTGTAATAAACATGTAAATTACATGTAAAGGGATATTTATTTTTTTCATGAGGAAGTCATCATGTGTGTGTATTAGATCTGATAGAGTAATGTAGTTGCATGTCAGAAATGATTGCGATTTCGTTTGTCCTTTTGCCTGAAAAAATTTGATCTTGATTGAAGATTTGATATTCATTTTATTTTTGTACATTCATTGAAAGTTTCATTTAAAGATAGCTTGTAAGGATCTTTTATATGATGTACCATGTATATGATGGGTCAGTAATGGTGAAATAATGCACTGAGGCGCATCTGAGGTTTATTTCCACCAGTAAAGCTGGAAAGTTGCCATATGACCTATGGCAACTGTAGTGAGATAATGCAGATGGCATATAAGAATTGATAAGGAGTTACAGTCGAGACTGTCATATGTGACTTTCCAAGGGACCTTCAGAAAAAGGTCGCATATGACAGGGAGTCTCTAAATACAGTCTCAATATCATCTATCTGTCTATATACCAATGTGACTTAAAGAACACTGATATTGTTACTGTGATCACGTATCTTGCAAAAAATATATATGGATATAATTATGCAAATAAAACCATTTTCAAACATCAAAGAATATGTAAAATGTTTATTGCCAATATTTGTGCACATTATATTTAATCAATAAATTACATGCACTGATTTCTTATCGGAAAATTTGACTTAGAATTTATAGAAAATAAAGTTCTAATTACCTCCCTTTAATGGCCTTTATTTACATGAAATGTTAAATTGGGTGATATCTTTCTAAATTATGCTTATTTGAACTTACAATATTGACAAATCTTAATTTGAGCATCATATTTATGAAATAAAACCGTGAAAAAATTGTGTTACAGGATCTTTACTGTAAACATATCCATATCCAAAGCTTTTTCTGGTTTGGTATCAATATTTTTTTCCGTATTAATTATGCAGCCATAGAAAGGTAAATTAAAAAAATGCTGCCTAAAAAATCTTCCATGGGCACTCTATAATTAAAAAAAAAATCTAACACAAGTCTTAACCCAGTTTACTCAGGTAGTACATTACACACACATGATTGCATCATGATTCCCATGAACCGACGCTACGTCACTTGGTACCTACATGCTAACTGTGTAATTGAGATAGAGGTGTGTAGACTTTGTTTGCTACAGTGCTGGATTATAATTGGACTTAATTAATTTGGCCCTCTGGGTGTTATAATAGGTAATCTTTATCTGATTAACGGACAATTAAAAGGTGTGAAAGTCGTTTAAATCAGACAAAACATTGCATTGGGACCAGACAATTAGGGTCGCTTGTCACATATGACAGGGAGTCGTTTAATTCAGACCATTTATATAGGAAAATACGTTGGGAGTACTGAAACAAGGTCGGATAAGACAGGGAGTCGTTTAAATCAGGGGGTCGCTTAGGCAGTCTCGACTGTATTGTAAAGTTGAAATACATCATATAAATGAGAATTTTGTTATTTCAGTGAATTGGTTAGACCATGCTAAAACACTTAGAGAGCAAGGTATCAACACTGATGAGGAGACGCTTCTATTGAGGCGTAAATTTTTCTTCTCCGATCAAAACGTTGATGCGAGGGATCCGGTACAGCTAAATCTGCTATTTGTACAGGTAAAAATCACAATTATTTTCATACTTTTATCTGGTAAGATGTTCAAGGAGGGGGCTTCCATGGCCAAGTGGTTGTGGTTTGCTGACTTTAACTACAAGCTCCTCATTGATGTGGGTTTGAGTCCCACCCAAGACACCCTTGTGGCTGAGGGGTCGCCTGTAAGGGTTCAGGCTTCAGAATTGCAGCTATTGTTTATCCCTGCGTAATCGTAAGAGACAACTAAATAGGTTTGAATTATTGGAGTCTATGCATCTTTTAGCTCCAGCAGATGAAGTGATTTTTACCCCTGGTGTTGCTTTAAGTTTGTAACACCCAAGGTTAGCCAAAATCATCTTTCCTGTTTCGGCACCATATGACCTAAATTGTGTTGGTGTGCTGTAAACCTAACAAAACAAACAAAGAATCCCACCCAATAACTTACAATACTTTCAGGGTAACATTCTTTTTTAAGGCAGTGACAATTTTTTTGACTAAAAGCAAAAATTACTTGACTTCATTGACTACTTTTTAGTAGGTCAACAAATATTTCATGCAAAACTGGGAAAATAAAGATGAAGGAAAATGTCTTCTTTTTTTAAAACAACAGAAAATACATTTTTATATGTTTTATAGCCTAGTAGATGTTGTAAAGTTTTAAATTAAAGAGAACAACGATGAATGTGACATCGCCTTTCAGACATTTAAAATGTCTTTATGTGATAAAGTATGAGAAGATATCCCCCCTGAATTGTCGAGAATTTACGTGTAACATCATTTATAAACACGGTTGTTAGGAAGTGGAAAATTGTGTCGCAACTTAAATTGTCAATTTGAAGAAAATCTCTCCTGGCTTTTGTATCCACTTTTTGTCTTGTTGAACAGAAAAAAAGATGTATTTGTAAAAATGTTTGCACAGGAAAATTGTATTAAGTTAGAATATTGAACCAATAGTGCTGTAAACAATTATACACACTACAATATAATGAATGATGAAATTCACCAAGGAATGAAAATTTATTTTTGTCAGTTAGATGCTAGAAAAGTTAATTTTATTTTACAAAGTCTTTTTTTTTTTTGGAGAGAAGTTTTTTTTAGAACTGGAAGATGTTTTCTATTTGTCACCATTAATGTTAATTATTTTCTTCCGTGTTTAATTCTATTAACATGGGTTACCTACAGTTGAAGTCTCTGTTAGTTCTGAGGTAGGTGTTAGAAAGTTGAAAGTTAGAAAGTTGATTATCAAAAAATTGTATATTTTGTCTTATTTTGTATGAAACATTTGAAGTTTCACAAGAGTTCTGATGATTAATAAATTTTTCGAATGTTATATATATTTTTCTTAACATTTTAAGACTGTTTTATTAATCTTGGGGGGCCTGCCACTTCTTTTGATGTGAGATGTTTTTATATATTGTCAGACTAGAGATGCCATATTGAATGGAACTCATCCGGTGTCTCAGGACGAGGCTATCATGTTTGCGGGCATTCAGTGTCAGATACAGTTTGGTGACCATGACGACCATAAACATAAACCGGGTCTTTTCGAGTAAGTATCATATAATTATGTCTATATCCACGGGTGGCCATGTTTCATTACACTGATCATTTTTATGCTCCCCGAAAAAATTTCGGGGGAGCATATAGTCGCCGCCTTGTCCGTCCGTCCGTCCGTCTTTCCGTCCGTCCTTCCGTCCCCTTTTTTGTCCGGGACATAACTTTGAAACAACAAGAGGTATCAACATGAAACTTTGTAGGTAGATAGATCTCATTGAGTAGGTGTGTAGTGCACAAGAACCGTAACTCTGCCTTGCGTAATTTTTGAATTATCCCCCTTTGTTTATTTTACACTTTGAAGTTTGTCCGGGACATAACTCTAAAAGTATAAGAGGTATCAACATGAAACTTTGTAGGTAGATAGATCTCATTGAGTAGATGTGCAGTGCACAAGAACCGTAACTCTGCCTTGCCTTATTTTTGAATTATCCCCCTTTGTTTATTTTACACTTTGAACTTTGTCCGGGACATAACTCTAAAAGTATAAGAGGTATCAACATGAAACTTTGTAGGTAGATAGATCTCATTGAGTAGGTGTGCAGTGGACAAGAACCGTAACTCTGCCTTGCCTACTTTTGGAGTTATTGCCCTTTATTCATTTTGACACTTTGACTTTGTCTGGGACATTACTCTAAAATTATAAGAGATATCAACATGAAACTTTGTAGATAGATAGGTCTCATTGGGTTGAAGTGCAGTGCTTAAGAATCATTACTCTGCCTTGCCTTATTTTGAAGTAATTGCCCTTTGTTTATTTTTACTTTTTGACTTTTGTCCTGGACAATACTTTAAAACTATTAGAGATATCAACATGAAACTTTGTAGGTAGCTAGATATAATTGGATAGAATTGCAATGCTTAAAGAACCTAAACAAAGCCTGGTCTAATTATGGAGTTATTGCCCTTTGTTCATTTTTACACTTTGACTTTTACCCGGGACATAACTCTGATATCATCAGGAAACTTTATAGATAGATAGATCTCATTGAATAGAAGTGCAGTGCAAAAAAACATAACTCCGCTTTGCCTAATTTTGGAGTTTTTGCCCTTTGTTCATTTTTTTTATACTTTCCTGTGTCCAGAACCTTCTCGGGGAGCATCACCCGGTTCAACCGGTTCTTGTTACAGTAGTTTGATACGCTATATATTTTCTTGTAAACTAAATGTTCATGGTGAAATAATTTGACATGAATGTTAAATTTAATTTGATTTTTAAATGCATCCAGTTGTCCAGTTGTTTACTTTATGAACAAACATCAGACAAGACTTTGACAATTATAAACAGAAATGGTGTTGATTCTGGGATAGGGACAAATTTAGGGCATCTGACAATATGAGTAACACTTAACCTGCAGAATTCATCTTGCTTTGAATTTCGAACAGTCCGTTCAAAAATTTTAGGGATTTTAATATCAAACTGTAAGGTTTTTCATTAATAACAGATTGACGATTCATATCAATTGTTGAAATAGGTTGTATTTTCAGCCTGTAGACTTGGCCAAATTGTTTGTTTTAGTTGGCACATCTGTTGCCTCTGACAAAAATGAAAACATTGAAAATTTAAAAAAGGGCCTTGTTAGACTGTACATATGTTCTGTACAGGCCTGACTCTTTACTGGTTACAAAGGCTAATCACTTCAGGTTCCCGCAGGTTATAGGGTTATCCGGCTGTTATATTGGTAAAATTGCCAATGGATGGACTTGAAGGCAACGTCGCCTAAACAATTCCTTCCTCGCGCTACTCCTACATTTTTTCAACAATCCTGATTTCAAGTCTACAACCGCTGGTATGGAGTTGAGAAAAGCTGTTTAAAAACAGATATTAATCGTATAAAACAAACACGTAAACGTATTGAAACGATATAAAATTCCTCCTGGAATTGAACCAATACGTATTCACATGCCATATTCAAATGCAGACATGTTGTCTTGTATAGTGTGAAAACTAAATAGTTTGTAATATGTTTGTTACATGTATTTCAGGAATAAGGAGTTCCTGCCGAAAGAATACTGCAAAGTTAAAGGCATAGAGAAAAAGATATTCTTGGTATGAAATATAACACAGTTTAAATATTCTTATATTCTTTAAAGCAGTTTTAACAAAAGATAAAAAAGAAAGACAAATTTATCAAAAGAAGTATAAATTTTTTCAAAGTACAAGTTTTATAAGAAAAAAGCTACAAGTTTAATCAAAAGAAGTATCCGTTTTATCAAAAGAAATATAAGTTTAATCAAAAGAAGGATAAGTTTTATCAAAAGAAGGATAAGTTTTATCAAAAGAAGTATCCGTTTTATCAAAAGAAATATAAGTTTTATCAAAAGAAATATAAGTTTAATCAAAAGAAGGATAAGTTTTATCAAAAGAAGGATAAGTTTTATCAAAAGAAATATGTTTTATTAAAAGAAATGTAAGTTTTATCAAAAGAAGTATGTTTTATCAAAAGAAATATAAGTAAAAAGGACAAGTTTAATCAAAAGAAGTATAAGTTTTATCAAAAGAAGTATAAGTTATCAAAAGAGTATAGGGATTTATATACCATTAAAAATTGTATATTTTATACAACATGTCATAAATGATTTGTTATAGGAACATAAGAAGTGGTCAGGGTATTCAGAAAGAGACGCTAAAGTGAAGTATACACAGCAGTGCCGTGCCTTAAAAACATACGGAATTACCTTCTTCCTTGTCAAGGTATGTTTCAGCCCGGGCTTAAAATACAGTCAAACCTCTGCTGAGCAACTCTCTGTAAAGCAATAACCTCTATACAACAACTGTAACAATTCTTTTCAAACTACTTGGGTGCTCACTCATGCCTAAAAAATAAAGGGGCATCTGGAGTTGTCCTTCAGTAGTAAAGTTTGAATGTTGCCATATGACCTTTACTGTGTTGGTGTGAATTAAAATCCAAGCAAACAAATAAACAATTCTTTCCAAAGTAAGTCTTGGATTTAATTCCTCTAAAGCATCATTTCTTAACATCTACCAAAAAAAAAAAAAAATGAAAAAATCTTTGTCTCGTAAAAGGTGTTGCTTGCAGAGATTTTACTGTATTATTATAGACATTGTAGTATTGTATTCCCTTGTAATAATGTAATGACAAGGTAAATGTGTATTTACATATGTAACATTTTTATCATGTAGGACATGACAAAGTCTTCATGCTTAGATATATAAGAATTGTTATATTGTTGCATTTAATGAAATGGGTCATCTAGTCTGTGATGATACATAATGAAACAGTTACATTGCCATTTAAAGAAGATGACATTTGTTTCGACTGAAATTTGTTCCTAATTAATACCATAAAATTGATGTTTCTGAGGTCTTTGCCCAATAACCTGCTAAATTTGTGACATGGATTTGTCCAGCTTTGAATTTGGAACAGTCCATTCAAAGTATAAGGGATTTCAACGGCAAAATAAAAAAAGAAAGAAAAAAATTGAGCTACCAACAGTATTGAACCTGGTCAGACTGCGCGGATGCTCAGGCTAGCGCAGCTCTATACTGGGTGGCCTAGTCTACTCTACTTTTTTGTTCTGTTGATTTAAATATATAGAGATATTTCATAGGGGTTGCTTAAAATTTTCTGGCAATACAGCATAATATTATTGAGTCATATTTCCTATAGTTTCCTGTTAGCGGAGAAATATAAAATAAGATTGAATATTGCAGTAATAGGTTTTTTGTTTTATTACTGTTCTTTGCTGATGGAACACATTATTTTATTTTTTGCCATGATCATCATGTTCAATTTGGCAAGTGAAAGAATTTTGAGTTATAACTTTGATCATAACCTATCAAAATTATTTGATGAAATCTCTCCGTGAAAATGTATTATGTTTAGAGGAATCATTTAGGAAAAAGAAAAATGATTTTTTTTAAGATTCATGCATAAGATTTTGAAAAACAAAAAAGCTTAGGAGAAAAAAAACTTGCGGGGGGAAAAAAGACAAACAAATGCAAATTGAGGGCAGTGGTATAAGAAAAGCTGGGTTTTTTTTAATGTTTTTAATACAGTTATGAAATAGCATGGGTAAAAGTTTTCAGGATTCTGTTCTGAATTCAGGAATTTTTGACTCCGAAAAAGCCATATTACACGACTATTGACAAAATTGCTTTTAAATAGGGGTCATTACTCTCAGTGCCTGAAATGGCTGATGGCCCCTTATTAAACATGGGATACACTCACATGCTTTTAAATATCTTTACCTTCACACGTGTTGTTGAGTGAGGAACCAGTTTATTTAATATCAAAATAACAACATTTATGATTACAGGAGAAGGTAAAAGGAAAGAACAAGCTGGTACCTAGGTTGTTGGGTATCAACAAAGAAAGTGTTGTCCGTGTAGACGAGAAAACTAAGGAGATCATGAAGACGTGGCCTCTTACAACAGTAAGAAGATGGGCAGCCTCCCCAAATAGTTTTACTCTGGTAAGTTCATACATCAAAATTTATTTTCATTGTCTTCTTCCACAGCTGTAATTCTTTCTTCTTAGCCTTTCTAGTTTGACTATTGAAGCACATTGCCATCACATTGGTTAAGGTTTTGTGTGCAAGTTGGTATCTCTAAAATACTAAAGGGCACGGATTGAAACTTCATGTGTTTGTTCTCTGTGATTATCTTACATGATTGATGCAGATCCCATTACTCTTTAAGTTTCCTTTTTACAGCGTTATGACCCTTCTCTTACTGTCTAGCACTGAGAAAAGTTGAGCGATCTGTGATACGGACAGCTCATTTACAAGAACTTCAACCGAAATCTTCCCCAACTTGTAATGTTGGAAAGTCACTATAAGTGTGCCAGTGACACTTAAAACACAAATATATACTATCATATTTACTTTTATTACAGGATTTTGGTGACCATGCTGACCAGTATTACTCAGTACAAACACAGGAAGGAGAGCAAATTGCTGCCCTTATTGCTGGATATATTGATATTATCCTTAGAAAGGTATGTCCTTATTTGTGTGACAGTAAGTCTTTATACTTGATATTTTGTATTGAAGAACCCCTAAATGCATAATTATGTCCTAGGCTGTGGTTTGATCTTAAGGGGACTCAATTCTTTCATGTAGGGAAGGCTACCAACTACCTAATATAGGACAGTTCTATCATGCCCTTTAATTATTCATGTTAGGGGGTTTGAAAGTCACCATATGACCTTTAAATACAGTCTCTATGACCCATGTAAAAAAAAATTCATGGAAGGAAATACATGTAGGTAGAATCAGACATTTTTTGAAAACTAAATGACTTGTAAAAATTACCTTTTCAGAAAAAAGCAAAGTAAAAGAAATTTTTGCTATTTTTAGTAATGCAAAATAAGTTGCTGTTTAAGAATACAAGATATTTAACTTTATGGCATTAATTTAATAAATTTTTTACCATAGAAAAAAGCAAAAGATCATCTGGGTATTGAGGGAGACGATGATGCCCTAATGTATGAGGAGAATGTGTCATCAGCGAAGGCGACCATTATCTCACACCAGTCACATAATGTTAGCCACCCACAGACTGGGTCAGTATCAATCCCGGGGGTGATGAGGGATGGGGGCGGAGGAGAGAATCAGATCAGTATGGGATCCATGCAGCAAGCATTGTTCAGTATGCAGTCAAACCAGGCCCATGCTGGTCAAGCTATTAGACAGGTACTGATAAAACAAATAAATGTGGATTTAGAAAAATTTAGAACATATAAGTAACATTATACATTTTGATTTTAAAAGAATTTTCATTGGTTCCGGTACAAACAGTTATAACCTTATATAATCTGAACTGCCAGTTGAGAGTTATATATATCCCTCTTCATTGACCATAAAATCATTGACATAAACATTCTAACAGTTTAGTCCATATTTTAATATTTTCATATCTTGACATAGTAAAACTTGTACATTATTATTTTGCTTGAACAGAGTCAGAGTTTCCAGGAGCATGGATTGACTCAGGCACAGAGGGCGCTGGTGTTGACCATCGACGACGGATTGTCTGCCGTAAATCAGGCCCAGACAGAGCTGGATCAGAGAATAGATTTACCGGATCTCGGCTCTGATGCTGTAAGTTATATAACCAGACATGTAGTTTATATATCTTGTTGTTAAATGTTGATATTCATTATTGAACATCCAAGTGTAAATGGTCAGTGAACATGTAAAAATAAAACTAACTTGACATTTTGCCATGCTTGTGTTCAATTTGATATTTAACTAGAAAAATAATCATTAATCCGTGTGACCAACAGACTTTTCTATAAATATCTTCAGAAAATGTTGGTAAATTAAATGTTCAATTCAGATCTTCAAAAGAGTGGGGCGGTCTTTTTATAATATAAGTCGTTTTTACATTGTATCTGAAACATTATTCATTATTAATTACTGGTCAATCATAATTACAATAGTTAATCTTTTGAAATATATTACTTATTCAGCTCAGTCGAAAAAATAGCATAATGTCACTTTGATATTTTACATATTATTCATGTTGATCAGTCTGAAACTGCTTAGAATTTAATTCTGTTAGAAAGCTTGATGAATTAAAAATCGAGATATACCGACCTGGAGCATGAATGCAAGTGACTAGATTACTATTTAACTGAAATAATAGTGTTACAATGTAAAACACTCTCCTGTGACATAAATATACAAGAAGTAAATATATATCAAAATTGTCTAAAGAGTGCGATAGTAGCCAGGGGTTGGTAAGAGCGAGTAGCCAGGGCTTGGTTACAGTATTGATACACAAAATATATTGGTATTTACAATTCATAAGCATATCCTTATTCATGAAAGCTTTGAATTTTGAATTTATGCTTGAATGATTTTATTTTCTCTTTCTCAGGCTTCAAGAAAATGGAAAGAGAACAATTTAGATCTATCTCGACAGAAAGTTTCAGCACAATTATCGGCTATGAATGCCGCTACAGCCCAGCTTGTAACTTTAACCGGAAATGATGAACCGGATTATGGTGCAGTAGGTGCTTCAGTTAACCAGATGTAAGTTTTCCGATGATTTTGATACCTCACTTTTAAATTTGACAACAAATTGTCGGAAGGAAGGTAGTCTAGTACTGGTGTAACTCTCCAGGAACGATGGTTAGGAAACTACCCACCTATATGACTGAAAAACTGTTGGGAAAAGGCGTAAAATGAAAACAAACAAACAACGAATGGTGGTTTAAATCGCTTAAGAATTTTCCAGTTAAATGTTTTATGATCTTAGTTGAAAGTGTACAGTATGGTGATTGTTGATATGCGAGCCACTAGAAGTGATCATGAAAGCTGTTTCTGTCAGTCCATTATATAACACCATTACAAAGTAATGTGTATGAAAATCAATAATGTTTTTTGACAGGTTATATGGCAAACTATAAATGGCTGTGAGCTTATATTTTACAGCCATATAACATGTCGGAAAAAAATCTTTAGGAATTTGTAACATTAGGAAATTTTATTCTATGTCAGAGTCAAAATAAAAACAAACATGCTGCAGTGTTTATAAATTATATAAATATCACAATTATCAAAATGAAAATTGCCATTTAAAATGTGCAATTTAGTTAAAAACTTTAAGAAACATGGTGAAAAGTAAACTTATAACACAACTCTGTAGAAGATGATCAATTGTTATGGTTGTTGCTATATTTCCAGTTCATCAAATCTGGGAGATTTCACACATGATATTCGTATGTTAGCTGCTCTACAAGAGGATGATAATCATGGAACAAACTTGATGGATGCTGCTAGAAGGCTTGCAGGTGGACTTTCTGATCTACTTAATGCAGTACAACCAGAGAGGAAAGAGGTATGTTCTCCATTATTCCAAATAAATCTTCATGTAAACTATAGTAACAAATTGACAGAATTATTTATGGTTTGTTAACATTGGCAGTATCCAGGGTTATCATTATTATCAGATATCGTATCATTGGTTGAAATGCTGTTAAAATTGGCTGTCCTTTCAGTCTGTAGATTAAAATATGTAGATTAAAATATCCCCCCTAGAGCCTCAGCAAAATAGGTTGTTTTAATAAGCACATCTAGTCACTTTAATGCAATAGCTGGTTATCTCCTATTAAATTACAAAGGACTTAACCTGTTACTGCACTAAGGTGACCATCTGTAGCCTCAGATATTAATGAAAACCCCAAGTATCATAGCTTGGTGTCCCTTAAAAAATTGCATAAATTCCAATTTTAAGTTGTCCGAATGTAGGTTTAATGTTTTACGAAATAAATCTTGATAGTTTCTGCAGTTAGTGCCTGTCCCTGTGTTCTTAAATTAGTTTATTGAAAGATGTGTGAACATTTCTTATTTAAATTAATCATAATGCTCTTGATTGGATGATTTGAATGATAAGGTATAGGTGGAGATACATACAAAATCCCTTTTAATATGTTTGGAATAGCAATAATTTAGTGACAAGATTTCTGGTTACCATGGAAACTTTGTTATATTTCAGCCAAGACAGAATGTGTTGAATGCAGCAAGTCGTGTAGGCGAAGCCAGCCATGATGTTATGGACGGAGTTGGAGAAACTGCCACTGACATGGACAAAGCATACCAAGATACTCTGATAGGTCTTGCCAAGGCTGTAGCTAACGCCACGGCTCAGCTCGTACTGAAAGCTAAGACTGTTGCCTCGACAACGGAGGACCAGGAGATGCAGAATCGCGTGATCAGTTCAGCGACATCGTGTGCTCTCGCTACATCACAACTTGTAGCTTGTACAAAGGTAAATTAATCCCGACAGGGACTTTGGATTCTTTCATGTGAGGAAGCTATTCAGGTAGCCTACTTATTAACATCGGTGGTTCTACTCAGGTGCCCATTCATGCATGAAATAATGTACGGATGGGCACCTGAGGTCTGCCTCCACCAGGAAAGCTGGAACATCGCCATATGACCTATACTGTGTCGTTGTGACGTAAAACCCAATCAAACAAACACAGGTACATTATTCCAGTTGACATGTTGTCAAAGTTTTAATCAGACTTCTGAATGTGCAACTTTCATCCTTATGTAACTTTAGGCATTGTGTAATAAAGCCATGTAATAAGAATAATATTACACTTGATGATGTGATGTCATTTGCGTTATATACAAACATAGCATTAAAGCATGCTAAAGTTAGCGTGACACGGTAGGCACGTCAATGAAAAATGGCTCTTTTTAACTGTAAACCATTTTCATTTTGGATATTGGATAAAAGGAATATTTAATTTGTGAAGATTTAATACAAAATTTATTGAATGTGTCTAATAAAATAACCATAAAATAGATAGCATTTTACATGTACGTTTTGTGTCAACTTTTGTTTTGTTCCTTTTGATGAATCATGTGAATAAATTAAATCCTTCAGGTGGTTGCACCAACAATCGGCAGTCAGGCATGCCAAGAACAGCTTATAGAGTCAGCCAAGATGGTAGCTCAGTCAGTGGAAGGTGTGGTAGATCAAGCTGCCGCCGTCTCACAGGACGAGAAACTACTGCGTGACCTGGGCGAGGCAGCCACAGCTGTCACACAAGCATTGAACGATATGTTGAAGCATATAAAACTGGGCGCTGGTCCGGCTAGGGTGAGTTAAAGTCTTGATATGTTACAACAAATACATTCTGTCATAACATTATGACATCATCTACACATTCATAAATATGCGTAAAGCATCAGATTGCTGCTGAAAGTACTCATGAGATATTCAATTTCATAGTGCATATAACTTGAACAAGCTTGACTGTTGCATAACACTCCCTGATGAAAAATTAATGCTCTTTCTATAAAAACAAAAAAGATGTTTTTTAGGTTTTGGCTCTTTGCCAAGTCTTTACCTTTTAAGATTCATCTTTCTAGCTTCTACTGATATAAATAAATTTAAAGTGCATGTTTGACTTTATGTGTCCGCAAATTTTATTTTCAGGCATCGGAGTCCCAGGAAGAGGCTGTAGATACTATACTGTCAGTGACTGACAGATTGTTCAGTAGTGTAGGCGATGCCCACGAGATGGTTAAACAGGCTCGACAGCTCGCACAGGCAACATCTATGTTGGTAAATACGATCCGAGGCCAGGCCGAATCTCACCCAGATTCTGATGTACAGAAACGACTGTTGGCCGCAGCAAAGGCACTTGCCGATGCCACTGCTAAGATGGTTGAAGCTGCGAAGGTAAAGATTTAGTCAGAATTTTATCAAAAATTTTTTTACTCTTAAAATGAACTTGCAAAATTGAACATTGTACAATGGTTAATAGAATTTCAAGTCCATCAGACGTATTTAAAGTAAATAGTTAATCTGAAGTTCATGGAGAATTTTCGAGTTGTATTTACGATGGTTAGGAAACTACCCACTTATATTACTGAAATACTGTTGGGAAAAGGCGTAAAATGAAACAAACAAACAATTTCCATTCAATGTCATGATTGTTATGTCATTAATATGAAATGGCTCTTTAAAATGTCTGTTTAAAAATTGTGCCATAAACTCCTTGATTTAAAAATATTTAGGATCATTTTTAACTTCTTGACATCCAGGCTGTTTAATAAGGCCCTATTTCTACAGAAAACTATGAAATAAATGCTGAATTTAGAATAGTAGAGCTTTTATTTACTTCCCAACTTTCACACAAGTTGAAAGAATTGTTTTCATATTTTATGTAAATTAAAGTCATTGAAGTCAAGTAATAAGAATGTGTATATAATGATTGTAGGGATGTGCATCTAATCCGAATGATTCTGACCGCCAGCAACATTTACGTACTGCAGCAGAGGAACTACGGTCAGCTACAAATACTGCTGCTAGTAATGCATTGAAGAAAAAACTTGTTCAGAGACTTGAGGTAGGTCACATATTCTGGTGTTCTAAGTTCTTAGGGAAGACAGAAAATTATGATTTGATGAATGTATGTGAAATTTAAAGTGATACTCAAGGTGTCTGATGTATGTCTATTTCAAGTTTGCCTACTGTTATAAAATTCACCACCAAAGTAAGCTTGTTATTGCTTTTAAAATAAAAATCTTACAATATATGAAATTTATATCTTTAGAAAAGTAATACCGTATAATTCTTTGTACATGAATGTAATTTGAAATGTGAGGAAGCAACCCTAACTTTCGAAAGGTCAGTGGTTCTACGTAGTTGCCTGCTCCTGCCTGAAATAGTGCACGATGAGGCACCCGTTGTCTCCCACCATCAGCAAAGCTAGGAAGAAGAAATATGACTGTAACAGTGTAGGTAACATTAACACATCCATACATCCCCTAACACAAGCACAACCTCAGAAAAAAGTGTGTTAATAATAATATTGATACCATTTGTTTGTGTATATACAATGTACATATGAATGTATATTTTACAGAGTGCAGCAAAGAACGCAGCAACGGCCTCCACACAGCTAATTAATGCATCAGGTAGTGCTAATAAAACAAACACCAACAAAACATCACAACACGATCTAGAAGTACAATGCAAGGTGTGTTTTTTGTTTCCTTCTTTTAAAGCTACATGCCTCCAAATGAGCCAAAATATTTCAGAATAATCAAACTTTGAGGAAAATGTACTGTAATTTTAAGAAAAGTGGAAAAAAACCCACCTCAGATTTAAGTAATAATTTACATGTTATATGCCATGAATAACTAATTTTGCAGTATTTATTACCATATTTTTACTGTGTTACTAGCGCAGAGTAAAGCAGTAAGGGCTATTTTTGCAAATTTTGACCTCTTATTTGGTAATTAACATGGGTTGTTAGTGCTGTTTGCAATGCGTAAATTATTTTCTTCGTTCACTTCACAAAATTTTTCTTTTCCGTTTGTTTCAATGAACTGATTAAAGGGTTATTATTGTCAAAATTATTGGTTTTTAATGTTAAAAAAAGAGATGATTTTGAAAGTGGTCTTCTATATTTCTGAAAAATAACTCCATGTTTATGAAAATAATACAAATAATGACAACTAAATGAGTTATATGCATGTTACAGACAGTTAATGAGGAGCTTCCTGCATTGGTTCAAGGATTTAGGGGTGTGGCCAACAACCGGGACAGTGCCAGAGCTCAGCTTACCCTGCTCAAGTCTGCACAGGAATTTGTTCAGGTAAAATTTTATATATTGATGGCTTCAAACCACCTGCCCCTTACCGCTGCAGGTTGGAATCCTGTCATGGGGAGTTTGCTTTTTTTCATGTGAGGTAGCTATCCAACTAGCTTACAGAATATAGATGGTTCTACTCAGGTGGCTGTATGTGCCTGAAATATTGCATGGAAGGGCACCTGAGGTCTTCCTCAACCAGTAGTTGCCATATGACCTTAAAAAAATAATTTGTGCAACATAAAATCATCACTTTTTACATGAAAATAGTTCAAGAGCATTTGTAAGATTTATGAAAATCTTAATATATAAAAAAAATTCGCAATACATGTATTGCAAAATCTGAGAAATAACAAAAAACAAACAAAAAAGTGACAACATTATGAATTTACTGATGCTTCTATTTTTAGCCTGCTAACTCACTAGTGAATGCCGCCAACGCTGCGGCACCAACTGTGACCGATCAAGCAGCAGCCACCAATCTTCACTGGAGTGTCAAGTCTATGTCGGCAGCTCTAGCCGAGTTACGTACTGCCTCGTCCAAGGCCCAGGAGGTGCTAGGATTTATGGAACTGGAGAGTGCTCTGGAAGAGGTTCAGGAACTGGATAGAGAACTTATCGAGATGAAACAGTCCGCCCATGATGGCACTCTTAGACCACTGCCTGGTGAAACGGTAAGCTGTCATAATAATTATACAAGTGCTCTAATTTTATTTTGTTCAATATAATTTTCATGAAGATCATAATCGAAGAAATAAAGCTCCGTGACTTTGGCTTAAAAAAATTTTTGCTCAAAAAATGCTAAGGTAAAGATGTTATTTGAAGATGTGTATATACATCAGAATCAAAGAATTTGGTATATTATTGAAAGAACTATCGAATTTGGTATTTTATTGTCAGATATTGACAGAACTATTGAATTTGGTATTTTATTGACAGAATTATCGCATTTGGTATTTTATTGACAGAATTATCGAATTTGGTATTTTATTGACAGAACTATTGAATTTGGTATTTCATTGACAGAACTATTGAATTTGGTATTTTATTGACAGAACTATTGAATTTGGTATTTTATTGACAGAACTATCCAATTTGGTATTTTATTGACAGAACTTTCGAATTTTGTAATTTATTGACAGAACTATTGAATTTGGTATTTTATTGACAGAATTTAAATTTGGTATTTTATTGACAGAATTTAAATTTGGTATTTTATTGACAGAACTATCGAATTTAGTATTTTATTGACAGAATTCGAATTTGGTATTTTATTGACAGAATTATGGAATTGATATTTTATTGATAGTGTCTTATAGCCTTCTTAAATAGAAGCTGTAGGAAATTGTTGACAATATGACAATATTTACCGATGTTTGTTCCATTTTCAATTTTCTTGTTTGATTAATTGAATATCTTACAAATTTACAGGCGGAGTCCTGTGGGGCAACTCTTGGTGCAAACTCTAAGAAAGTGGGATCTGCTATGGCTCAACTTCTCACAGCTGCAGCGCAGGTAGGTTGAACTTATTTTGTATTGAAGCAAAAAAAAACAAAACAAAATGTTAGAAATTCAATGGACACTTTGCTGTGCCATGCTGTTAAAATTTCATGAATATTATCCTTTCTAATACAATGTTAATGTCTAAATTCAGTTTCACCTTATGTTAGTTTGACAATTGCATCATTCAGATTTCAAAGAATTGTTTAGCTTGTATATCGTCAACTTGGTGCAGTCAAGGGTTAACTCCTTGTGTAATGTATTAGGAGTTAACCCTTTTCTGCACTAAGGAGATGATATGTCAATAATTTGACAACAATTTAATGAAATTTCTTTTTATTTTCAAGGGCAATGATAATTATGTAGGAATTGCTGCACGTGACACAGCCAATGCTCTACGTGTATTTGTTAACGCTGCACGAGGAGTTGCCGCCAACTCGAAGGACAAACAAGAACAGCAACTCATTCTGGACAGTGCTCGTGAAATTATTGCCCGGTCTAACGAGCTTCTAGAAGCTGCTAGAGAAGTAATTGACAATCCGAACAAACCTGATAATCAACAACGATTACAACAGGTGAGCTTGCGTTACCTTCTGATTCTGTTGTATAAGTTTTTTTTTCGGCATAAATAGTCTACACAACAACATAAGATTTCAATGTTTAATATTTATTTACATGTTTTGCCAGAAAACTTCAGCAAAAAACTTTATCAGAATGATAAATGTAATGAAATTTGTGAGGAATGACCTTAGGTAACAAAAAGAAAACCTCTTTGTTAAAGCAGCTTACCGCCAGGTTTGTGTCAATTTTTATGAAAACTTTGTTCTTATGAATAAAAAATATTGCCAAATCAGCAAATAAATTGATTTATCCAAGCTTAAACTACATAATGTTTAAAACTTAATAAAAACAAGTGCTTTTATATAACAGGTGGCAAAGGCAGTATCACACTCACTGGACACTTGCGTGAACTGTCTACCTGGACAGAGGGACGTGGATATTGCCATCCGACAAATCACAGAGACCAGTCAATCTCTCTCCTCACAAAGGGTAATGTCTTTATTTAAACTACTTATTTTACATACAGTACATCCTTGACAAAGGCATGTTAAGCTAAAAGTACTTAAAAATCTGAGGAATATATGATCCTTCATAAGCATAAATCACAACAAAGTAACATAAAAATTGTAGACTTGGTTTGATTGAGTCTGTACATGAGGGATAATGATAAAGCGCAACATCCCTCACTGTCATGCTCCCAAGCACCGGCTTGAGCGGTACTCAGTTTTCAACACTAAAAAAGTGCTGGTATATTGTACTTGGCCTGAAAGAATGGTATTTCTCTCCCATTACATTTTTAAACAATTCCTACATTCTATTATTCTTTCTTGGCAATCCAGTGCCTTGATAGGCATTTTTAAGATGGATATATCATCACAATTTAGCTACATATTTCTTTATAATTGAACACTTGGATACTTTTTACTGTGGAAATCTTACAAATTTGATTTGTCATGAATGGTAGAACACTGTTGACAAACTTACATCAGTATAAAAAAATTGCAAGTTTAATATGGAAACTTAAGAAATATATAACACAGAGTTTTAAGAATCGCGATTGAAAATGGTTGAATTTATACTTTTTTAATGTTTCAATAAACAGCAAAATGATGAAGATTCGGTGACAAAGGTAATGTAACAAAACCACACAGGCTGTAATCATTAGTATTAGAATATATATTATTTTGTATATATTTATTCCATAATACTGCACATTTGTAATGATGATTTTCATTGGTCATAGGTGATGTTTATAACATTTGTATACACTGCTACAGCAAATTTATGAAGTTTTTATTTTAAGTTTAAACAAAGAAACTTTTTATACAGCATTATAAGTTTGTTTCCTTGAGCAAGAAACTTTACACTCATTGCTCAGTACTGGTTGGTTCCAGGAACGGATTCGAAAGTGTGTTTATAAGCTAATAGCTTCCTACACAATCGAACTAAAATAAATTTTGTATAAACCAAGTCTGTTTATAAAGACTTTTGAACAGGATGTATAAAAAGTAGTTTGACATATAACCTTTGTGCACTATATTTAAACAAAATATTAATGAAGAAATCCAGTGTTTGTAGCTGCATTTGAGTACAAATAAGTGTACCCTCTATTCCACTCTAAAGTTACTTGAGATATAAACAAACCATTTTGTAATTTTATTTTGCACTAAGCTTATTAAAGAAATATTAAGGGATAAAATTGTAGAAAAGAGCACATATCTATTTAGAAAAATGTATTACACACTATAAAATATAATAGAAAATGTATTACACACTTAAAATATAATATTTTTTTGACGTAAAGGTATAAGAAACTAGCCACTAGATTCTATTAGTCCAGTTAATAATACTGATAAAGAGGAAGGTCAGATTTTGTTTTGAGATTCTGTCTTAAGATAGTTTTCAAAGAGAATTTAATTTGATATGTTATCTTAGAATATTTTTCCTTAGGATCCATCCATTTTTAAAATGCAGTTTAGAGTATCAAATTTTCTGTTTATTTAAATTCTCTTGAAGTAGTTTGTATATGTTGAATTCTTAACTATTGTTAAGAGTTATGCTGCACAATTTATATACATGTAGTTTAAGTTTAGAGTTTGATTATAATTGACAGTTTCCGAGTACGAATCGTTCGTTCACGGAGGTACAGGGAGATATGACTGATGCGGCAGCTAATCTGAACACTGCCGCTAGTGACATCATCACCAACTCGAGAACAACAACAACACAACTCTCTAAATCATCGGAACATTATAGCAAAGTTTACCAACAATTTGTGGACACTGGTCTTACACTTGCAGGTATGTGTGTTGTCAACAATCAACACATCAATTTATTAAAATTCTCCACAAGCTGTCTCTAAAGTTCAGAGTTAAAATCCATCATTACTTCAGTGTGGAAGATACAATGTGGAAGATATCATTTTCCTGTATAAAATTTATTGTTCTGTCAGTATAAAAATTTTCAATTGCTGAGCTTTTGTGAAAACTAAATGTTGAGCATTTATGAAAAACTTAATCACAGTTAATCTTACAAGCATACAATAAGTTGCTGGTTCTACTCGGGGTGCCTGCTTGTGCCTAAATGCCGAAGGGGCACCTGAAAATCTTCTACCAGAAAAGCTGGAAAGTGGCAGTATGATCTTTATAGTGTCTGTATGAGATAAAAAACCAAACTGTGGAAAAACTACTAGTTGCTGAATGATAACCAACTTTTTTGTATAAAACCACCCTAATCCTTTATGTTTTTAAGTTCCAGTGATTTCGATGTTAATGAAAGGTATTTACTGTGTATGTAATAAGAATTATATTTTGTAGGTCTTGCTAAGGATGGTGATACACAGAACCAGATAGTCGGTGGTTTAAAGAGCGTTTCCATGGTATCCTCTAAGTTATTATTAGCTGCAAAAAGTGTTTCTATAGATCCTAACGCCCCCAACGCAAAGAATTTATTAGCTCAGGCGGCTAGGTTAGTATTCTATATAGCTACAGTAGAATTTTAGAATGAAATAACAATGTACTGGGAATGCTCATTGAATTATTGCCATGGCATTTTTGTGGATTTTGAATTGTTCATGTGTACAATGATACTTAATATTAGGAAAAAACATACACTATTCGTTTAAGTTTGTATTCTGTGAAAGTTTTGGTAACACATATGTTTTAAGATTTGAACATAACTTTTAGATAAATTATAAAATCTTATTCTTCTAATGATAGCTTACAGAATGATAGTGGTTCTACTCTAGTGCCTGATCATGCCTGAAAACACACATATGTGTAAGGCAAGAGGGATGCCAGTAATGCTGGAAAGATACTTTAAAACTTGTAAAATGTAGGTATAAAACCAAATGAAATGAAATAAAATCTTCTGAAATAAATATTTTAACTATTTTATTTTCACAGAGCTGTGACAGAGAGTATAAATCAGTTGATCAACATCTGTACAGTGTCTGCTCCTGGACAGAAAGAATGTGATAATGCTCTACGTCAAATTGAGGTAAGTGTTTTATCTTATATCATGTGATAATGTCAAATTTAGGTAAATGTTTTTATCTTATGTGATAATTTACTATGTCAAATTGAGGTAAGTGTTTTAGTTTACATCATGTGATAATGATCTAAGTGAAATTGAGGTAAATGTTTTTTCTTGCATTATGTGATAACGTCAAATTGAGGTAATTTTTTTTATCTTGTACAGCACTTAAAGCAATGGAATGAGCCTGCTGAGAGTATTAGAATCAATGATCCCTCAGGACCAGAAAGCAACATTAAGGCCAATATGAAACATTTATTACAGGGTTATAGTTAATATTAGACATTAAGGAATGTAATATTTCATTTATGATGTATGATAATAATATAATGTATTAAAATATTGATATTTTTATTTCAGATGATGAAATCGTGGTTAGATAACCCTAACGAACCTGTCAGTGACATGCCGTACTTTGAGTGCCTTGATACAGTCATTGAAAAATCCAAGGTAAGTTTGGTTGTTTGAGAGTTGCTGGTATTTCATATTTCATTTACATATTCTCAATTTGCACGGATACAAGAAGAAATGCATTTTATATACAAGTCTGCGTGCAAAGCTTGATTGTTTTGAGTATCGCATTTGTAATCTAGGGGTCTCTAGTTTGATTCTCGGGGGAGGCATAATTTATCCATATGATTGATATTTACTTTGAGGCTCAAGGTCATTTGTTTCTCACAGCTGATTCAGAAATCATGTGGGGATAAGTAGTGTATTACTTGCAGAGAAATTTGTAATATCTGGTAAATTGTCCAAGTAATATCTGGTAAGTTGTCCAAGTAATATCTGATAAATTGTCCAAGAAAATATTGGGGAGATGTACCTATCTCCGAAAAATAACTAAAAATGTTAAAAAACGGGAAAAGCAAACAAACAGCCATGTTATACAATACATACAAATGGCTCTACCAAATAATCATGTGTGTCAGTCAGCCAAATAGTTGAAAAGAAAGAAAGGTGAACAATTTACGACTTTTATGTAAGTAAGTAAATATGTAACGACTTTATTTAGTGAGACTAACACATTCAGTTTCCCGATCTTCCATGCGGGCCTTAAATGTAAATATGATCTGGTAGAATCTGATTGGTTTATTAAGCTAATGTTGGTATTTTGTTGTTATTGTTACAGTATTTAGGTGGTGCTATGACCGGGATGACAAACTTCGCAAAGAAAGGTGAGACGGACGAGTTCTGCTCGTCTGTACAAAGTTTCTCCTCATCTGTTTGTGGCCTTACAGAAGCTTCTGTCCAGGTAATGTACAAATCAGCAGTTAAAACATTACTCCCGCCCGTATTCCAGGAACTGTTTATGTGCTTCCTATTATTATGCATAATTTACTTATTACGACAGAGTGTATTTCTGCTGAAATTGCTATTAATTTATGATATATTATTTGATCCACATTAATATCATAACAAAATTCATTGTGAATTTATCAAAATATTATTTCACTTTTTCTGTGTAAAATTTCTGCCATCCCTAAAAGCTCCTGTGACAAGATATTAAGATACAAGATATATTAATATATGATATGTGAAATATGATTAAATTTTTACATGCCAAAGAAACAATGAATTTATATAAATTTTCTTTTCTATGACATTTACAGGCTGCGTACCTAGTAGGTATTGCTGACCCAGCCTCGGAGCCAGGTCGTCCAGGGCTAGTGGATCAGTCCCAGTTCTCGCGTGCCAACCAGGCCATACAGATGGCATGCCAGAACTTAACCAACCCAGCCAGCTCACAACAACAGGTTGGTATTCAATCTCCCGTAACATTCATGCTTGTGCATTTAAACCAATCTACCTCCCACAAGTTTGAACTTGATATTATACCTTAAATTCATATTTACATGTAATGCACTTTCTAGACCTTGAAGATTATTGAAGAAAAGAATGGACTTAAAATTTTGGCTTGCTGTTTAGAATGATGATTGATCATCTTGTTAATTTAAATTTCATGGAAAATTTGGATCTTCAAGCAATAACTTTACTTGTTTCACAGTTGATATATAAAGGACTGCTATGATGACTGTACTACATGTAGGCTAAAATGACTTAATGACAAAAAGTGTGTACTAATGAATTTTAATAATAAACCAGTGAAAAAAATACTTCCAGCCCTTTCTTTAAACTAATTGACATCAACAATTTAGCATCGTTTAGCTCTTACAACTAAGTAGATAATTGTGCACATAATGAATTTAGACTTTAAACATAATGGTTGTGGTCTAGTGGTCAGCATTTCAGCCTCTTAAACCCAGGGTTTCATGGCTAGAGCCTGATTGAGGTTACAACTTTGTTTCCTCGTGAGGCCACCAGTACTGGCTAGACCAGGAATTTAAATTTGAAAGTGATTAAAAATAGGCTCTTGTATGTCATTTGCCTGGAAACTAACCCTTAACTTGCTGAATGGATTTGCCCTGCTTTGAATGTGGAATAGTCCATTCAGAGTTTAAGGGATTTCAATATAAAAATATGCAAATTGAAGTACCAACGGTATAGGGCCTGGTCAGACTGCATAGAAGTGCATGCTGGCCTGGCTCTATACTTGTGGCAAAGCCAAATGGCTTATCAGCAAGTTATGGCCTTAAGGGTTAAAATGAAAAAAAAATTACATTACTATTTTATAAGATATACAAAATTGAATTGAATTTTGATATTTTGGTATATTAAGTATTACTCATGTTGGATTTATCGGTCAACGGTAAGGTAACAGCAACCTGTAGTAAAACAGTTTTTTTTCATGGTTTCCTTTTTTTTTTTACCACTTTGTGCACATGAAATTTAAGCCTTCAGTATTTTTTGTGGATTTTTTTTTTCTTTGTACATTTTAAAGTCCGCTTTTGATGTCTTGTTGTGCCTGTTTTGACAGGATGACTTTAGATAAAAAACAGCTAAAGTTTGTACATGTATATATTTATACACCGATTGTTGAAGAAAATAGTTCCCGTAGAAAAAAAAAATAGTCCCAATGTATTTGTATGGAAGTTATTATAAAAACTAAGCAAGGGTTTCTCACAATCTTGCAATAACTTTTTTTTAAAAAGAAAATCATAAAAGTTATGACATCGTTCTGTTAAACCCTTAAAGTACACCTTGATATGCTATAACTCACCCCTTGTTGAATCCCCGTGTCACTTTTGCCAAATTTGACAATACTTGTTTTATGTGATTTTTATGCATGTTTTAATTGGGAAATAGAAACTCTGGAAATTATTATAATTAAGTTGTTAGTGCATTTTTTGGCAAAGATTACTACAGATTTCAAAATTGTAAATCAATTACCGGTGGAAATTTTCAGAAAATTAATTCCAGAGCGACTTATTTCCCAATTCATTGTTAAAACACACAGTTCAGAGATACTTGGTTCTATCTATATTTTGAAGTTTCAAAGTGGTCATGGTTGTTGACTTTGTATTTCTTGGCCCTTACATCTGCAAGTTAAAGTTTACCAGAAGCTTTGACTATGAAATTCCTTGCCCCTTAACTCTGCAAGTTTGAATTGGCAAGAAACCTTGAATTATTTCATTAGAAATTTGTCTAGCTAGCAAACAGAAAGATGGTGGTTCTACTCAGGTGCCCGCTTGAGCCTGAAATAGGACACGGAGGGGCACCTGAGGGTATTCCTAAAGGTTGTTAGAAGCTTGGCCATTCATATAGATACTCTACATATAGATAGAACTGTATTGAACACTTGCAGGACATACGTTCCATCATTGAACCCCCCTATAAATGTGTATTAATATTGTGTAATGTATTTTGCCTGCCCCTTGGAAGCCTTTCGTTTTGACAGCACAGTTAGTGGTATGTTTGAATGTTGTGTAGGGACTGACAGTTTCATTGTTTATACACTTCTTATACCACCCTACCCACTCAGTTTTAGCTCGTCTTGTTTCAAAGAAAAAGTCAAGCTAATATGATCGCTGTGGCGTCGTCATCCGCGTTGTTGTTGTGCGAAAACTTTAATGTAAGCCCATTACTCATACAATTTTTAAAGGTATCAATATGAAACTTGGAATGCTTAATTATCATGACAAGGCACATTAGTCTGACAAGGGGCATCATTCTGAAATATATATTTTTGGAGTTATGCCCCTTTTTTTACTTAAATTTTTTTTAACAGACGAGCGTTAACACCAAATGGGGTGCTTTTGTCTTCTTTTTTGTTTTTTGGACTGAATCCCTTTAAGTATGCAACTTATTTTTCTGAAATGGAAATCACAGAAACTTTATTCTATTATGATTGCGGATTTAGGTTGGATTAATTTTGGCATGTGATTTATCTCTGTTTTTGTTGCGGCTCATTTCTTTATAAAAGTCAGATGTTGGCCTAACAGGACTGTAGTGGTCATATTTTTGCTAAGATTAAATCCCTTCTTTGATTGTTTTCTCTTTCTTTAAAAACAGATTGCTAAGGTAATGGTTCTAAAAGAAATTTGGTTAAAACCTGGGTTTTTGAGTGGTATGGGTGTTTATTTGAATGATTGCTAATTATGGTTTTATTTGCCATTTTGTTTTAAATTCAGAGTAAAATTCCAACTGATAAAAATTATTTAACATAGTGGTACTTCATAGAAAACAAATAATTGAAATTTTGTGGGGTAATTAAAATGTGGTTGATCTTGAAGAAACTGTGGCCAAGTGGTTTAGCCTCTCAACCCATGGATGGTGGGTTCAAGCCCTACCTTGGTCAATACCATGTTTTTTTCATATGACAACAGTGCTGGTTAGTTCCAGGAAGCAGACTTTGAGGGTAGTTAAGATAAGCTTTAAGTTTTCTTCACTGACTAGTTTAAAGAGTTCAAGTTTTTTAGTAAGTCATTTGAGTCATTATGTTTATAATGGGTTTTTAAAGAAATTTAAAAAAGGACAAGGTTGTGATTTAATTATCTTTCATTTATGTAGAAACAACGTATGTAATTATTCCTGTAGAGTTTATTTTTGTCATTCTATAAAAATATCCCATTGGTCACAATCTTCTCCATTCCTTGTCATTCAAATTATTTGACACTTTTTCATCTCAGAAGTTGAGATTTTTTTTTTTTTTTTTTTTTTTAGGTTTTTAGCATTAGTTTCTAATCTTCGTTGTCCTATTTCTTTATTTTTGTGAAGTTTGTCTTTCCTAGTGGTAATAGTTTTCACCTGTCAAAACTGTGGTCTAATTTTGTGTATATTGTCCATTGTATTAATATACATGTTTATGTTAGAAATAAGAAGATATTTTCTGTATTGTGATAGGATGATGTTTTGATTTTGTTGTAATTTTTGTAACCAATAAAATGTTGAATTTCATGGTGGGACTTCAATACACTTATATTGAATAGAGTTAATTCAAGATTCCTGGGAATATTAATGTGAATGTAACATTTTACAAAAAAAATGGGAAAAAACAAAAAAACTTTTATCAATTTTTGAAAAAATGTTTATCAATTGTAAATTTCTGTAATGTACCTAAATAGGAGTTTGACCTCTCCTTCCCTTGCTGCAATGAAAAATGATAAGCCTTTGCCAGGCCAGCCTGCACATCTGTGCAGACAGACCAGATTCTATACTGCTAAATGTTTATATTCTGATATTGATATCCCTTAAACTTTGAAATGGACTGTACCAAATTTAAGTTGGACTGGTTCATTATAGAAATATAGCAGGTGTAGGGTTTAACATTTTATATTAGGTGTACAAGTCCCACTAGGATATATATATATAATAAATATAAATGCATGTATTATTTGTTATAAGATGTTATGTATACATATTTTAGGATCACACAAAGGTATGCCTTGTTCACCAGAGTTGTGTTTCTTGTTAATTCTCATGTATATAAACTCTTAAATGTAACAGGGGCCTTGGCAGCGTACCATTTTGATCTATCTGTACATTTGTATACTTTAATAAGTAAAAACAAGTGTAAAGATCTAAAAATCAAATGATTAAATGGACAAAATTAGATTGTAATCTGCTTTTTCATTGGCTGTAACACATTTTACTTATTAAACCAATCAGATTGAAGAATGGACATGTCAAATGTCACAACAAATCTGATTGGATATGACTATTTGATTGTAAAAGACCAATCAGGGATGCTGATACATAATAGGGAGGGAAAAGTTGTAATGCGTCTGTTACATTTAAAATATGACAATAAAAACTGTCCATGTATGAAATAATCGTCTTCACTTCTAAAAGTTCTGAAGTATTATTAAAACAACTGTTGCTTTTTCAAAACTACAGATGTTTTGTTTGGTAGGGGGCGCCACAAAATGTTTCTAACTAGAGATTTCTTGTTTATAATAACCATGTGTTAATCATATATAAACATTTAATACATGATATAAATATATCTGAAAATGTAAAAGGAGAAAGTAACATATAAAGAATATATTGGAACATATAAGTATTCCAAAATAACAAAGAAAAAAAGATCAAGAAAAATTTACTGTGTAAGAATTTTTTGCAGATATTGACAGTAAATGTAAAAGAAAAAAGTAACATATAAAGAATATATTGGAAGATATAAGTATTCCAAAATAGCAAAAAAAAAAAATAAATTTCTGTGTAAGAATTTCTATTAGATTTTGACAGAAGTAGTTCATCAGTAAAATGAAAAATATGTGTGTATTTCACTTCTAACAGTGTGTTATGATGAGCATAATTTATGTGTGTAGTTTTCTGTGTGTGATATAAGTTCACCATTACACAAATGTTTTCCCATACTATTGTCAAATATTCAAATATTATGTTGTGATTCATTCACTAAACACAAATTTAATGATTTTATATTGTTTAACATGTACATGTATAATGTTATCTATGGGCCTTAGTAATACTTTGCTGTGTATGTGTGAGGAATTTAATAGCTGATTAAATGATGATTTCACAGATATTAAAATGAATTAACAGAAGGATAAGAGTGTAACTTAACCGATTTACATATCAAGATTTTAGTTTTGGTAAAATTCAGAAGAATAAAATTAAGTTTTGCAACTCCTATAAGCATGTTGACATAGTTGTGCCCCTTTCTTTACTTCGCTCCTTTTGTTTTGGTTGTAAATTGGCACATTAATGGTTAATGTTACCTGTTTCAAACTTGATTTCCAGATTTAAAATATATTGATACTTTTACATGTTCAATGTTGTCTTTTTCACGAGAGGCAATTTCTTTTGTAAATGTATTTATGTATTCCTTGAAAATCACTCCCGTTTCCACCTAGCCAAGTCAGCCTTCTAGAAATCTAGGACATAAGTGAGAGTATATTTCACATTCAGCAATAGTTGTATTATAGAACATAAAACTGTATGGCAAATGTTGATAATGTTCATTTTAAACTCTGATTTATGACTTTGATAATTTTTCAGCTGTTTTAACAAGAATTTTCAATGTTACATACTTTTACAGGATTATATACATATCTTTAAAGGGACTCCACTGAGGTTTTTTGACATAATGGGACTGAAGATTGTTTTTCAAGATTTATGTTCTATTTGATGCAGGTCTAGATTAATTACTTGTGTGCAAATTTTCAGATCATTCGCTAACTTTGTTTTTCCAGGATAATTATTCTTATTGTGCAAAATAACCCAGAATTAAAAAGCTTTGCATTTAATTGGCCACAAATAGCATAAAAGTATGATTTTAGTTTATTTCTGAGCAAATTTCTTAATTTTTTTTTGCACATCTTTCTGTTTTATGTGCCCCAGCTGATTTACGTAAGGATTTCAATTTTTTTTGTCTTTAGGCTTTTGGACCTCAGTGGAGTTCCTTTAATAACTGGAATGAAGCACCTTAATTGCAATCAAATGAGAATATTGATTGAAATAATTCTCCAAACAAAATTACTGTCATGATTCTATAAAAATAGAGTTAACCTGTGTCCACTAAAGCATGAATAGCAGAATATTATATATGTAAAACTAACAAAAAATAATGGATGAGAATAAATTGAATGAGCAGTTTAATATTGAAATGATAATTTTGTTCTATACCTATCTGTTGCATAAAGTTTTGAGGGGTTATACCCCTCTGTATCAAGGGGTTTGCTGTTTATTTTCTAAATCACATATTTATTTATTTTTCTCTGTTAATTATTGAAAATTTAGAAAATGAACAGCAATCCCTTTGATAAAGATGGGTTGAACCCCTTGAAACATTGGATGTTGAAAACTTTGTGCAGTATATAGATATATATTAATTGTTCCCAGTGTGGTTTCTATGATTTTGTCAATTTGGCTATTTTACCAAAGGTTATATGTTGTATATTATATGTTATATATTATATGTTTGTATATATTATATGTTAGTGTATTATATATGATTACAGGTGCTATCTGCAGCTACAGTGGTAGCTAAACATACGTCGGCTCTATGTAACGCCTGCAGACTAGCGTCCAGTAAGACTGACAATCCCGTAGCGAAAAGACATTTTGTACAAAGTGCTAAAGATGTTGCTAACAGTACGGCTAACTTAGTCAAGGCAATCAAGGTGAGTGCGCAGTCGTCACCATAGCAACCGTGTCCTAGGTTAATTTATAGTAAAAACAAAGTATCTAGTCTGTTTAGATATAATATACATCTAGTGTTGAGTACAGCAAAGTTCTCACAAGTTTTGACATTGTTTCTACTAAACCATCTTTTGTACTTTATAAGTCAGTGAATTTTCATCTAAATGTTACCCATTATTTAAAAATGATTATATTATATTGATTGATTTCTTGCAATTCTGTACAGATAACTTTAATATTAAAGTGGATTCATCAATGAATAAGTTTGAATTTCGGTTTGAAAATTTCAATAATATTTTTACAGGATAACATATTTTTAACAAGCGAACAAAGTTTATTTCTTCATCATTAGGTTAATAAACTTTTATGTAAATTTGCTAGATATTGTAACACTTTATGATTGTTCACACGCTGATATATATATATATTTCTATGTCTCATGGCAGGCATTAGACAGCAATTTTACGGAAGAAAATCGCCAGAAATGTGCGGAGGCTGCTAAACCATTGGTGAATGCCGTAGATGAATTAACAACTTTTGCCTCGTCACCGGAGTTTGCCTCTAAACAAGCCAAGATTAGTCCTAAGGTAACTACTGAACAAAGCTGATGTTTCATGTGTAACTTAGACAATTAGAATACTAACTTTATGAATTTCTGTCTTACAATTTTTTTAATAAATTTGGATACATATATAATTCTGTCTGAATGATTTGGGTATTGAATGAAAGAGTTATGGCCCTTATCATGGTGAAGATTTTGGCTCACTTTTACCATAAGTAACACTGCTTTAGCTTAAATAAGTGACAGAAAGTCTGTACACAAATACTAACTTGGCTGAAGTGCCCATGAGTTTTAGTGTTGATATTTACCCTTTTAAATAAAGAGTTATGGCCCTTGTGATGGTGAAAATTAGAGTATACTTTTACAGTAAGTTGTAAGAACTTGCACAATTATGTTTTAAGAACAGAGACTTTCAATAACATTACTAAATTGTCAGAGAATGAAAATACTAAGAGTTATTTAATATTAGTATTTCATTGAATGTTTACTTAATCTTGTGTACTTTATTTTAAGGCGCGACAGGCTCAAGAACCAATCACATCAGCTGGTAAATCACTTATTGATGGTGCATGTAAGATGTTAGAAGCTGCGAAACAATTGGCTATCAATCCTAAAGACCCGCCCACCTACCAACTCTACTCCAATCACTCGAAGAGTGTTTCTGATTCTATAAAGAGATTAGTCTCAGCAATAAGGTACGTATCATAGTATTTATGTATGATAGATATACTGTCGAGCCACAAATACTTCACTTCCTAGTATTTTTGTCAAGTCGTAGGAGTTTAACTTTATTTTATTGGACTTAAGTGACTTCAGTGGTTTTAAATAATTCACTTAATAGTACTTTTGTCAAGTCACAGAAGTTTCTCAGTGGTTAGATTCTGTGACTTGAGACTATTTGATCCCTACGGCTGTGAGTTCGAATCCAGTCATGGACTTTTGGAATATTTCATGCAAGGACACTTATCAGCTAGCTTTTGTTGAAGGTTCTACTTAGGTGCAAGAAATAGTGTATTTGGTTTTTCTCTGCCAGTAAAGCTGGTTGATGCTACTTAAAACTCAACCAAATTTAAAAAAGCCATATGGAAGCCATATGCTTAAAGTCTTAAGATAATTTTGAGGATATTTGTGAGTGTATTGAATTATATTCTATTATAACAGGGACAGTGCACCTGGTCAGAAGGAATGTGACGAGGCCATCGAGAACGTTAACAAATCTATCCGAGATCTGGACCAGGCCTCGCTTGCGGCAATATCTGGCAACTTACCTTCCCGTACAGAGAGATCACTCAGAGTAAGTATTCTTGTCTACATGTATGTTGTAAGCTGGAGAATTTGAACCTATGACCCAATGCAAGTGACTATACCGACTTTTGTCATTCCCCGATAGAAGTAGAATTGACCCCTTTAGTATTTTAATTTGATATTCTAAGATTTCATTTTGATAGTAATTGAATTAAATATAATAAATTCCACTTATAACAATATTGCTTATAACGATATACCGCTTATAAGGATGCAGTTGCCACGGTCCTGTCCTGACTCTTGCTTTCAAATTGGTTGCCTCTTGGATATAACCATATGACGGTATGAAATTCGGCGGTCCCCTGAATATCGTTATAAGGGGAGTTTATTGTATGTAAACAGAGATAAAAAGTAAAATAAGTTAATCGCTAGTGGTCAAAATGTAAGTAAGTTTTGTTGAAATTTACAATAATGCCAACAACCCACTATCTATACATTTGTATATCTTATCAGATTGATAATTTTGTTGCAAATGTCGCATATAACAGAATTAATGTTGTAATGGTTGTATTTATATTTCAGTCATACCAAGAACAGATGATCAGCTGCTCGAGAGAAATTCTTGAAACAATTGAAAATGTGAAGAAAGCCGCGTCTAGAGAACCAGAAAATCTCGGTCATTTGGTATGGTCATGTTTTTCTCGATGTAGCACAATTTTGATTTGCAACTTATAGATGATGAATTTTCTGGCATATGTGTACTTTGGATGACATTATTTCAATGTTATGGATGGAAAAATTATTTTATTACTATGCAATAACATGGTAAAACATATCTTAAACATAACATAGGAAGAACACATTAAAACTTGTATGAGCAATGAAACCACAACAGTTACATCAAACTAAGGATAACCCAGAAAATAAAAGAGAACTAAATCTTGTACATGTATATATGTTGTAAATGAAGTTGTATTTCATAAACTACTTTGACAACAACAAAAAAGAAGCAAAATCAAAAAATTTCTGAGCTTTTACTTACATGTAATATGCAAGAAGAGTAAAAAAACAATTGTTGAATATCAGGCTCTCTTATAGAATTAATGTTTTTTTGTTTCCTAGGTAACAAAGATGGCAAATTATCTGGATCCGTTATCGGAGGCAGCGGTTGGGGCAGCTTCGTTGATGAACAATTCAAAACAACAGATGAGCACCCTAGATCTGACAAAGACTGTTATAGAATCTGCTCTACAATTCTTGTACTCTTCAAAAGAAGGAGGTGGAAATCCCAAGGTAACATTTATCGTCTGCTACACTGACATGTATATATATTTTTCCTGTAAGAGAAAAAAACGTTACAGATTATAGATATATCATATAATTGTCAAATTTTTGCAGTTTGTATGTTGTTCTTAGGTTATGGTTATTCAATCTGAATTAAAAAGTTTAAATAATTTGTTAAATTATTAAAGATTTCAATTGAAAACCAATGTTGAAACATTGTTACATTTGAACCAGGGTGTATATCAGTTATGGTGGCTATATCCTTCTTCAATATGTAATTAAGTCCAGACAGGAAAATTACACAAACAAAAAGAAAGTGAAAGTAAAATATTAAAGATACCATATGAATTGCAGGGTACAAAGGTTATATGCTTTCACACCAACACTTTATTGCTGTTAGACTCCAAATGTTTGCTGACCTGCCCCTCAACACTGTTGATTATAATCCCTTCAGGAATTTGGATATTTTCATGTAGGGAAGCTATTCAAATGGCTTATGGCAGGGTAGCGGTGCCTTAAATAATGTGGGCACAACTGTTAAAACATGGCCATATAACCTGTTAAAAGACTTCAAAACCAATTTATATTTCTCTGATGACAATAGAAAATAGTTTTAAAATTTGCAAAAGCTGTGTACATGTATATATAAGAAATATTAATATCATAATTTGCCAATGAGAATTGATGTTACAAACATTCAGTATTATATAACTGTTTCAGGCATCAACAACACAAGAGAATATAACAACCGCCGGTGACGATATGAAGGACGTAGTACAGGATCTCCTACAAATGTTAGAGGAGTCAGTGTCCCAGGCTGGCGAGGTTACGACCATGATCGATAAAATCAGCAAGTCAATCACCAAGGTAACTGGCTCACTAACATTCCCTTATTTCACTTATATAACCGCCTCAGTGGTGGAGGGGTTAGAGTCGATGACTTCTAATTCAGTTACCTCTCTGGCGAGGGTTCGATCCCCGGGAAATGTTATAGTAGTTTGGCACGGAGGAAGGAAGTCTAGTACTGGTGTAACTCTCCAGGAACGATGGTTAGGAAACTACCCGCCTATATGACTGAAATGCTGTTGGGAAAAGGCGTAAAATGAAACAAACAAACAAATTCACTTATATTCCACTATAACATAGAAGATATTGGTTTGGCTTTTAGTGAAAATATATCAAATCTCAATGAATTTTTAAACAAAAAAATACAAAAGAACATTCACTTGAAGTGAGATATTAAAAATGAAGTAAAAAAAAATGCATAGATATTATTCTTTTTCTATTTTACAGCATTCTACGTTTTTCTTTTCCATTGAATAAGCCGGACACTTAAAATTGATGCCCAATGGTGCATGTTTATATGATATTATCCATGCCATCAGAGAAGAATTTGCTTTGGTATCTTTCCTATATTTATCATACTGACAGAAGCCAAAATTGCATCCCTAACAGTATCCAACAGTGTGACATGACTTTATATCTCAATGATATTTCCTAATATCCTGTCCAGTATCTTGTTCCAATATCTGGGTGATAAAATTGATATGCATTTATATTTTGGTGCATTTATATTTTGGTGATAAAATAGATTGCCTTCATATTTTGGTGATAAAATAGATATGCCTTCATATTTTTGTGATTAAATAGATATGCATTTATATTTCGACCACTATCTCGTAAAAAAACATCAGAATAATGCTATTAATGAATTATCATATGTTGAACTTCAAAGATGAAATAGAATAATACAGTTGTAATCCCCTCAGTGGGTTGGTTAATTTTGTATATCTAGACAGCACTTGTGTGTTTTCATTTAATTTCGGAATGAGAAAGGATATTAACTGGATATTTTCAGTATTTTATACATAAAGACTGTATTTTATGGTAGATTAAGTGATCTGGGATTGAAACATTATGTAATCATGTAAAGGTCATGTGCATTTATATTAATGAGATAGGAAAGAATGGACCATGAATAATATTCCTTTCATTTGATATTTGGGAAGCATTCACTAGCTGGAAATAGTAATGCAAAGAGATAGGTTTTTGGTTTGTTCAGTTACGGAAAAGGTAGAAATAAAAAATTTGGTACTTTCTTTCAGTTAAGATTCAATTGTGTATGGAATAAGTGTTTGTTAAAGTATTTAGGTATATTAATCTGTGGAATGTTAATCGTGGGTTCAAGCCCTTCTAGGGTGACGACACCTGTCACAACACCAATGCTGGTTAGTCACAGGAAGGAGACTGGAGGGTGGTTTAAATTGGCTATAAAGTTCGAGTGAGGTTCAAATAAGTTATAAAGATTACTCCACATAAATAGTGTTTAATGTAAGCTTAAGTATAAGTATAATAATATTAATACAAGAAAATTAACTAAAAACTTTGATATGAATGTTGAAATTTTAATGTATGAGGATTTATATGTTACAGACGGATGAGAGAATAGAGTTGAAGCAAGGACTTGGATTTGTCGACTATCAAACCAACATGGTTAAACTGGCCAAAAATATCGCCAAGACTTCACAGGATATGGTAAGTTCACTTTGAATATTATGGCATGTAATTATTATATCTGTGTATTTTTAATTTGAGGAAGTTTAATTTAGTACTATTTAGTACTTTAGTTAACTGTATATGCATTTATGTAAATTTAAGAGCATTAAATGTAGCTTAAAAGTATTAAATGAAAATTCGCAAGCTCATTTTGTCACCTTAGTGCAATAATGGGTTAACCCCTTATGAATTATTTAAGGAGTTAACCCGTTACTGCACTAAGGTGACAATTTCACTATGTGCCAATCAAATATAAGAATGAATATTGAAATAATGTTTACCAACATTTATTCAGAGACATTGTAAACTAGGTAATTTTTCGTTCACATAGGTTGGTAAATCGGGCACAGATGTAGAAAATCTTGGATTACTGGCCAATCAGCTGACAAGAGACTTTGACCTTCTGGCCAGTGACTCTAGAGGGGCAGCGACATCGGCACAAAATGCTGAGGTAAGGAGCTATTGTTATTAAGATGTTATATGATCACTGCTAATATTTTCATTACATAATATACTTGCATACTCTGTAAGTCTTTCAGAAATGTAAATAAATGTGTCGGTTACATTTCTAATAATTAGTCTTTATCTATCAAACTTCAAATCTGAGTACAGAACAGAAAAATGATAATGAATAAATTTAGTTCATGAAGCAGTGTTTCTCTACGGTCTTCTATGATACCACCTTATAAATGCATTTCTTAAGTAAGTTAGTAGAATCAATTGTGACTTTGCTTCTTTTTCCATCATACCGGCATATATATAAATGAGATGAGAATTTGATCAAAGGTTCGTTTAAATGATATATTTTTCTGTTTTTTCCCCCTAGATTTCTAGTAGAATACGTGTGAATGTACAAGATCTAGGTAAAAGTTGTATAGAGCTTGTCCAGGATGCAGGTAATCTACAGGCAAACCCGAGTGATTCATACGCTAGACAAGATATTACACAACATGCACGCAGTGTCACTGAAAAGGTACAATTATCTTCAATCTTATGTTTGAATGATAAAAAAAATGACTTTGAAATGATTTCAATTAAAAAGAACTTGGATTAGATTTAGTCAGCAAGAATTCAGTTTGAATGAGCTCATTCAGAATAAATTTCCACTTTGAATGAGCTTATTCAGCATAAATTTAGTTTGAATGAGCTCTGCAAAAATTCAGTTTCAATAAGCTCAGAATAAATTCAGTTTGATTGAGCTTGGTCAGCATAAATTCAGTTTGAATGAGCAAAGTAAGCATAAATTCATTTTGAATAAACTCAGTCAACATAAAGTCAGTTTGAATGTTCTCAATTAGCATAGTCAATTTGAATGAGCTCAGCATAAATTCTGTTTGAATGAGAACAGTCAGCATAATTGTATTTGAATGAGTGCAGTTAGCATAAATTCTGTTTCATTGAGTTCAATTAGCATAAATTCAGTTTGACTGAGCTCAAAAAATGAGCTCAGTCAGAATAAAAATATCATCCAATGGTTGGAATGTTTTTTGTATTGCATACACATCTCATGCTTTGAAATAACAATATTTTGTACAAAATATTACATTCTTGTAGTATGCTATTTGCAGTTTATCTATAAATAATTATCCAGCTATACAGATGAGGTACAGTTTAATATAGATGTAATCAAAAACCAGTATATCAGGGAAAAGTGTACATGTATATAATTGCTGATATAAATATTTCAGGTATCATTTATCCTGGCAACACTTCAATCTGGCTCTAGAGGTACCCAGGCATGTATTAATGCTGCCCACACTGTCAGTGGTATAATTGCGGATCTGGACACCACGATTATGTTTGCCACGGCTGGAACATTGAACGCCGATGGTGATGAAAGCTTTGCTGATCATCGGTATTTAGATATGATCCTTATTCTGTTAAAAAAAATTCTTACTTTTTTTGTACATTTCCACAATGCTTTCCTTGTGTTAACTTACAGGGAGTGTATTTTAAACTCATGAGGTGGCTTAGTGGTTTATGGTTGCTGGCTTTGATTGAATCAATTGCTATTTACCCCATTACTGTGGGTTTGATCCTGCTAAGAACATGGATATTTTCATGCGAGGAAATTACTCTGCCGGCTTAAAAAATGGTTAATAGTTCTACCCTGGTGCTCGCTCGTGCCTAAAATAATGCAGGAAGGTGCACCTGAGGTTTTCCTCCACCACCAGGAAAGTTGGGAAGTTGCTGTATGACAATAACAGTGCCTGAGTGCCTTTAAACTTCAACCAAATAAAAGATTATGAAAAATATATGTATAATGACTTATTAATGTTATTTGCTGATTACAGAGAAAAAAACAAGTAAATGATATATGTTATTCTTTCACAGAGAAAACATATTGAAGACAGCTAAAGCTTTGGTTGAAGATACAAAGACACTGGTGGCTGGTGCAGCCTCCAACCAAGAGCAGCTGGCTGGTGCCGCCCAAATGGCAGTTAAAACTATCACGCGCCTGGCTGATGTGGTCAAGTTTGGAGCTGGTTCTCTCGGCTCAGAACAGCAAGAGGCACAGGTAATTATGGAAGGACAAATTTTTTTTTTATTTATTAAGAAATTCTTCCAAGGTTGAAAGTATACAAGCTTATAATACAAACTGTTTGTAAAATGTGGAAGAAAAACAGGTCAAGAACACATGAAGAGTTAATTCATAAGGCTCAAACAATATTAATATGAAAATTCTCTATCTAATACAAATATATAAAGGATATTCAAGTTTTTTCTATAAATACAGGATTTATTTTCATCGAGTGGTATGAAAATAAATATTTCAGGCAAGTAGAAACACATTCATCAACATTCTCATTATTTCATTTATAAGTATATATTAAAGCAAGATATGGGTTAATATAATTGTATATATATTTATTCAGGTGTTACTGATTAACGCAGTGAAAGACGTAGCATCCGCTCTCTCGGATCTTATAAGTGCCACAAAGAATGCATCCGGCAAGAACGTTCAAGATCCTGCCATGTTACACTTAAAAGAGTCTGCTAAGGTGAGGCGTTAGTAAGAATCTTTTATTATAAAGTATGGAAACTAGTTTCAAAATCGTGTTCTTTGATTGGTCAGTTGGAAATCACAATTCTGAAATTGACGTGATTATATTGGTCAGTTGGAAATCACAATTCTAAAATTGACCAATCAGGTCATTGTATTAGAGACTAGTTTCTAAATTTAGATTTTGAAATTTCTTTTACAGGTGATAAGTTTACTGGTTCTTAAAAGCTCTCCTTAATTTCTTGTGGAAATTTATTTAGGTTACGCAAGCTATTCTTGTCTCTCTTTTTTTCTGATTAATTTCTTTATTGCTTTGTGCAGCTATTTTCTGTTCTTATTTGACTTGATCATTTTAAAGCAGGCTGTTTCTTCATTGAGAAAATATAGTTGTATAAAGAATTTGACCTCTCTTTAGATTACCATATTTGAGCCGTGTCATGACAAAACCAACATAATGGGTTTGCGACCAGCATGGATCCAGATCAGCCTGCGCATCCGTGCAGTCTGATCAGGATCCATGCTGTTCGCTATCAGTTTCTCTACTTGTAATAGAGTTGGAAAGCGAACAGCATGGATCCTGATCAGACTGCGCGGATGCGCAGGCTGATCTGGATCCATGCTGGTCGCAAACCCATAATGTTGGTTTTGTCGTGACACGGCTCATTTATTTTCTTCAGTTCAAAGTAATGAATTTAATTGAATAATCTGTTTTCTCTCCAAAGAAAAACATGCCATCTTTTATGTTATTAAAAAATTTATACCCCAAGTCCTCAAAACACAACACAAAACAATGATTTTAATTCACCAGCAACTATACTACACATCAGTATTTGAGACTGGTTTACAATTAAAACATAATTAGACTGGTTTAGAATTAAAAAAAAAGTACCAGCCAGTTTTTAATAAAAAAAAATTTATAGCTTGGTTTTTCAAATAAAGATTTAATAGACTGGTCTTCAATAAAAAAATAAAAATAAAAAAGGATATTTCTGTAGGTGTGACATTTCAGTAAGATTAAATGAAAAGAAATATTTTTTTGATGTGGTATGTTACATGCACAGTTTGAAATTGATTCCAAATTTTCTCTGCACACCTGTTTTACTTTTTCATGTGAAAATGTGTTGTCGTAGAACTCTGCTGTTGTTGTTATTGTTGTATGATGTGAAATGCTGAACTTTCCTCCGTGGGTAGATTTGTTAAGATTTTCCGGGATATTAACAGTTGCAGAGAGAAGTTGTGTTTGGTAGAGGGGTTGGGGTCGGCGGTGAGGGGGTTTAGTGGGTGTCTGCCATTTTGATTAGATATAAAGCTCTGAATACACGAGGGATGAAAAATAACAGTTTTTGGAATTTGATTAAAAAATATATGAAAACAAACTTACCTGATAATAAAAAACTGCTTTTGAAACAGTTTCTTTTATAGTCAGGCTGATGAAAATTTGCAAATTTCAGCTATATGAATGTTAAGATGGCGTTTAAACAAGGTAGAGAAAATACGAAATATTAATGTGTGTAATATATAAATTTATCTATTATGTTTATTGCACATCCTTGAAATCTTTTTTCTTTCTTCTATATGCCTTGTTGTTATTATGAAATTTTGAAATAGGTATAGCATTGTAAGGATTAATCAATGTGAAAGGTAATATTATTGTTAAGATAGTAAGTTATTAACACAATATGTTTAATATACATTGTTTTCAGACTCATTCGGTTCGACCGTACACCGGCCAGTATAGATCGTATGTTTCAGGCATGTACGCATAGGTGCAACTGTGTACAAATATTTCGTATCGCCCACGTTAACTCTATTCCCAGTTTCAGGGACTCTTATATGAAAATTTTTATCAATTTCGGGATTATTTTGGATATAACATCGTAACAAGTGCCAGTGAACAATTTTTTAAAGGAAGAAAAAAGAACATTTTCCTTTCGTATTGTTTATTTTTATGAAACGTATACACTTATATAGATGAAGCTAGAGTATGATAAAAAATTTTACTGTAAGATACTGTGGAAAATTATCCTTTAATTATATTTAGATTAGTTCTTTGGAAGATTTTACAATTATGAATTGATGAGCCGAGACAGTAAAAAAAATGAATTCGGAATTTGAAACAATAATTTTCAGAACATAGAAATTAGTTAGTGTAAAGTAACATTATCATCAGTTAATGAAAGATAGGTACATTTGTAGTGATGAAAATCGGAGTATGAAATACACGTAGATTAAAATCATAGGCTATATAATATGGTATATATATTATATATTATAATAAGACTTTTTAAAAAGATTACAACACATTAAGCATTATTTTAGCATCATGTATGCAAAAGTTGTGCAGAAATATCTCGCATTTGTTCATTTGTGTAAATGTTTGAATAACCGAGAAAAAACAAAGATCGGGAAAAAAAACTAGGGAAAAGAATATTAAAAAAAAAAATGGAAAAAACTACAAAAAAGAATGAAAAAAAAAGATAATATACAAGGAAGTTTGATAATCAGGAAAAAGAAAAAAGTGTTTTTTGTTAAACAGATGTATATAATGAAGAAGAAGGAAAAATCGTAAAAGAAGAATAAAATTAGAAAACAACTTTTCGAATTATACGTACAATAAATAACAATAAGATTTCTTACTATTTGTAAAAAATATTTTCGAGTTTCATACAACTTCTTTCGATGGTTACAAATAAGGTACTTGAATTGAAATCAAGTTACTGCCATATAGATGTAGGATGTAGATTTTGTTTATTTTCAGTGTTGTTTCGTACACATAAATTTTTTACATATCATTGTCATTGTTGTTTTTTTGCAAGTTTAATAGACCCCCTTTTTTGTAATAAAATAAAAAAGCTTTCTTTTCATACATTTTTTACGCACATTTTAAACTTAACAATATGTTTATTTGCATTCAGCAGGCTGAAATTGGAAATTTTTTGTTTACATTTTGTTTACATTTTTTTGTTTTACAAAAATAATAATATGAAAGATACATGTATATGAAAGATTTCAATGAAATTTATTACAAAAATCAAAAAGTAAACATGTAAGTTTTTTTGGTTTTTTTTTAACAAATTATTTTTATTAACAAATATTGCATTATGCAAAAGTAACGAGTTGGTCTTTAAAGTTAAAAAGGATTTTATTATTATTTGTTTCTTCTCATTAAGATTGTCTTTGATATATAGCGGTTTATGAAAACAAACCAGAACATTTATGTCTGTGCATTTACTTACCATAACATAGTCGTCATAATTATTTATGATATATTTATAGTGATCAACGTCGTGCTTTGCCTCATAAGAAGGCTGATCAGAAACCGGCTCATTAGAATATATTACCTCATTTGTCTGCTTAAAAGACAAATTGCATGTCATTTCCATGGTCAGTTGTTTTATAATACAGACAGTGTAGTTCCATGGTCAAATGTTATTAATAACTGACAGTTCATTTACATGGTGAAAACAAAATGTATAACAAAGATGGTCAAATGTAGCAAAATACAGACGCTGTGCTTCCATGTGCAAATGTTACAAAACATTTCCATTTCTGTGGTCAAATGTATAACCACTACAAACAGTTCATTTCCATGGTCTAATGGTATAAAAATACTACTGACAGTTCCATTCCATGTAATAAATTACTCACAGTTGAGTGTTTGATGAGATGTCATCTGTTATAGACAGTTTAATTCCATAGTCAGATGTTATCAATCTCTGACAAATATGATTCCATGGTTCAATGTTATCAATTACTGACAAACTGATTCCATGGTCCAACGTGGGGAAAAAAATTGACAGTATGATTCCATGGTCCAATGTTTCAACTATTGACAAACATGATTCCATGGTCAAATGTTAAAAATTCCTGACAAGCTAATTCCATGGTTGATGTAATCAATTACTGACAAACTGATCACATGGTCCATAATTAAAAATTCTTGACCAACTGATTCCATGGTCAAATGTTATCAATTAATGACAAAATAATTTCATGATCAAGTGTTATTAATCAAAGACTGCTTAAATCCATGGTAGAATGTTATTGATTACAGACAGTTGAATTCTTTGGCAATTCAAATCCTGATTCCATGGACAATTGTTTTCAGTTACAGGCAGTTGAATGAAAAGATCTCATGCTATCAATTACAAACAGTATTTCTATGGTCAATTACAGATTATGGTTCATGGTATATTATCAGATTTTATCAATTACAGACAACAAATTATATGATAATATTGGAGGAAAAAAAACATAAAAATATTAATATTATGTTAAAAAAAAAGTGTTTTTAAGTGTGATTTTTCTAGATGTTATATAAATTAGACAAGATAAAAAAATATTTTTATCTTAATGTTGTTACATATATATAGATGTTGTTATTTTACATATCATTTAATCTTGTTTCAGATATTGTGTTCTATTTCTAGTCGCTTTTAATAAAAATTTGTGTTACACAAAATATAAAAGACGTTCTTGTTGTTATTTACTCACGACACATTATTTGCTGGAAGTGGCATCGATATAAAGATTTTTTTTAGAATTATTATGTATTTGATTATTATCACTTTGAAATTACAATTTATACATTAAAAACATGATAAAAAATTATTACTTTACGTTACAATTATCACTTTAAATTTCAATTTCCACGTAAAATTTCAATTATCCCTTGCTGTTATAATTATCATTTGATGTTACAATTTTATTTATCTTAAATGACTTTCTTTGGTAATTTTAAGTTATTTAAAAGATTATGTAAACTATGTTCTTTTGTGAAGATATTTCCTTTATCATTTTGTGATATTAATATATTATCCATGAAGACTTAAGGTAAATGAAAAATTGTATCTTGTATACTTCTTCTTAGGAATCAATCTAAAAAAGAAATACAAGTTGAAATATACAGTATAAATATGACAGATTCTAAGCTACATTTAAAATCAGACATGCCTGATTTCTTATGACTGATCGAAGGCAAATCATACCATGTTTAAATAATTAACTCTTATCATGCTAGGACTGACAGAAATTAGTTGTAGCCAAACAGGCGTTAGCCAGGTCAGACTCGACAACTGTTGGCGTTTGTCACCAATATTGAGTTTGTCTGACCAGGCTCTTTATAGTTGGCTTACTTAAAATACTCACTTAAAATTTTCATCTTGATATCCCCAAAATTGGTAATGGACCGTTCCAAGAAAACAAAATTTTGGACTAGTCCATTTAAGAAATTCAGCAAGCTACGGGTTGATGCATAGAAGTAAAAAAACACAAATTTGAAAACAGATTTTTTCAAGAATATTTTAAACATATATATTGTAACTTACCATTTTTTGTTGTTTTTTTTTCTTTTTCCTTCTTTTCACATAGGAATCATGGCATGTATGAATTTAAAGTCGCATTATAAAATACGCATTTATAAAGTATGTCATTTACACGTAGCCAGTACGTTCTGGTTGGCTTGAACAGTTTTAAAAAGTTGCACCAATGCATATTGTAGAATGTCCTCCCAGATTTTTATATTTTTTTTATAAAATGGCTGAAACATAGAATAGAATGGTTTCATGCATTCCGTGTTTAGTGTGCTGTCAAAAGCCTTTTTATATGAATTGTGTGTTTGCCAAGAAATTATTTTGAACATAGGGAAAAAAAACAGAACAATAATTTGATTAAAAAAAATCAAAATAATGTCATACATGCCAAGATTCCTGTTTGAATGAAGTTTATTCTTCAATGAAGATTTTTGTATGTCTCTGATTGGTTTTGATATAAATATGTAAGGAAATTTTTAACAGTATTGCCTCTTTAGCCAGATATACATGTTATTTTTGTACAAGGCATTGAAAAAATAAAGTTATATATAAAATTGAGATAGAATCTAAAAATAGATCATGAAATGACATAATTGTTATAAATTTTGGGGTGGGGGTGGGGAATCTAAAAAAAATAAGGTTGTCACAATATAGGATAATTGTGGGTGGGGGAGAGGACAATGAATCTTAAGAATCTATCTGAATACGGAGAAAAATAGTAAATATGTAATTAAATATGTTAATAGTTCATATGCCAGTATATTATCATATGTTTTTCCTATGTTCAAAATGACTCATTGTTTTGTGTGCTTTTTCCAGTATTTTTCACAAAAAAATTGTTGTGCTCTGTTGTTTTTGAAACATGAATGTTGAACCGAGTTACAAAACTAAAAATTTGAAATGTCACACCATTACTATTCATTTCTTAAAAAAAAAAGGTTTGCAAATTTTTGTTGTTGTTAAAACTAATAAATTTTATTTCTTAAACAAAAAACAATCACTCTTAAATATTCATATTAAAAAAATGAAATATAAAGATACGTTGATCCTGAATTTGTATTGAAAAATTTTTGATTTGAGCATTAAGAAAATTATTCATGAAAATGAAATTTGCAAACTTTTTCGAACTAATTTAATATTTGACAGGTTATAAGTCTGTTTTGTCATATTTTCTTTTTTTTCTGCTGTAAGCTTTTAGTGTTGCTGAAGCTACAATATGAACAGATTTGTCTCCCTTTTGTAGATGTGCTGTTTTTTATCTCCCTTGCTTCTATATTGGTTTTAAATATAGAGAAATAACTCTGGACTCCTGTAATGTCCCTTTGTTTTTGATGGGATAACAGTGTTTACAAATTAACAGATCTTGTGATTTTGGAATTATTTAAAGAAATGGCTGCGACTGATTTAAACAAGAGCTGTGTTTAGAAACATTATAGTTTTGTTGGGGGTTTTGGCTTCTGAAAGAAGACTTAGATTATATCTAGACTCGAAAGGGTATTTTTTTCATGCATGGGGTTTTAGATGTTGGAATAAATTTTGTTATTATAACAATTAACAAAAAATACAGAGGTTAAATAAAGTTATAAACTGAATTCAGCCACCTTACTGGATCTTCTAAATGTTCGGATCTTGTGGAATATGTAACGGTATGCATAACATTATTTGAGCTTAAGTGCCTGATTTGTTTTTGTTTTTTCAAGTCATTAAAGGAACTCCACTGAGGTCCAAAAGCCTAAAAACATAAAATTTTAATTTCTTATATAGATCGGATAGTGCACTTTTAATAGAAATAAATGCAAAAGATAGTTAAGAAATATACTCAAAAATAAATAGAAAATCGTTTTTTTGTGCTATTTATAGCCCGATTTTGGGTTAATTTTCACAATTCGAATAATTATTCTGGAAAAACAGATTCAGCAAACAATCTGAAATTTGCACACAAGTTGTTGGTCAAGATCTACATCAAATAAAACATAAATCTGCAAAAATTAGTCCCAGGCCCATCATGTCAAAAAAAACCTCAGTGGAGTCCCTTTAAACTACAAGATTTATACTTGGAAAGATTTATATACAAAACTGAAAACTCATATGTTGATGTACTATAGGGTTTATGTTATAAATGATCCAAAATAAAGTGCCTGCAACATTGAAGTTTGATGTATCAGAATAATCTACGGTTATACAAAAGCATCATTGGCTAAACATAGAATTTAATTCATGATTTTCTTACATTTTAGCTTTCGTGACTTGTTTAATGATTAAGGACACTTATAATCTTCAATGCAAATACTGAAATGTTTATCCCCCTATATATATCACAGGTTATGGTTACCAATGTGACATCATTATTGAAGACGGTGAAATCAGTGGAGGACGAGGCTACACGAGGTACACGTGCCCTCGAGTCTACTATCGAGGCTATTGGACAAGAGATCAAGGTATGGTGACATTGTTAACTTAACATAATTAAGAAATATGCATATCTGTCTTAAAAATCTACTGTCCAACTTTCTAATACTGTGAATTCATTTAATTTTGTGGGCATGAAATTTCGTGGTTTTTTTCACAAAGAACATTTTTGTGGGTTCTTAAATTCGTGGATTGTCAGAAATTGTAAAATGTAAAGAATGTCATGGAAAATAATCTTACAGCAGTCATGATGAGATTTCATTGAATCTTCAATTCGTTGATTGACCTTTCCACAAAAATCCACGAAAAAGTAGTTCCCCACGAATAATAATGATTTTGCAGTATAAGGTATCTTGGTGAATGATTCACTAGCAATGATCAAAATGTTTTTGGTTCACATGTTTGTATAAAAAAGGTCTCTAAAGAAAAGGAAAAAGATGACAAAATTGACAGACTTTACATGTTCTTTATTTTGGTCAAAATATCAAATATTTCAAACGCTGTTTCAGGAGACCATTTTTATGTAAATGAAGAAAAGTTTCGAATTCTTTAACTTTCTTTTATCATATGTTTAAGTCTTTACTGAACTGTTTGTTATCCCTTACTCTGCTGAAACCAAAAAGGTGAAAGGCCTTGTTCCACCCAGTATAGAGCCAGGCTAGCCTGCGCAATGACTTGATATTTCAATCTTGATATCCCCAAAATAGATTGAGGATATCCAACTTGCTATCCCCAAAATAAGTACAGGATATCGAACTTGATAGCATCAAAATAAAAAGAGAATAACAAATGAGTGTTGGTTCTATACTGAATTAATTGAACAAGTTGAATAAAATTATGGGAGCCTCTGGCAAGCATGATATTATTTTATTCAACTTATTCAATAAATTTAGTTTTGATCCTACGTGAATCAAATATTCTATTTATCACATACCCAAAATAAAGACTGTTTGAAACACAAAAGAAACATTTTCATTGACATGGTTATATTGTAAAGCTAACATTTAGGGCATCTTTACACTGTGTTTGTATAACGTAAATGATGTCACGTTAAAAAATATTCATGGTTGTGTAGTACTATTTTTACGGAGTCGCAGAAGCGGCACAGGTATGTGATAAAGTTTATAAAGGAAATTCAGCAGATCAAGGGTTTACAAGAACAACTCTCTGAATGCTCATTATTGATTTAAGAATGCTTTTATTTTTTTCAACGATTCTTTACCAATTTCTCTTGTTGTCTTATGGACAAGGAAGACAACTTCTTGGAATGTTTACACTCAAGTTTCTATTGAAACAACTCAGTTATCTGTTCCTGAATTGGTAGTAGTAATTAAGTTGGTATTACTTCAATTATTGAATGTTCTAATTTTTTCTCATGAATGCAAACCCCCTGACCTGCTGGAACCGAAAGTGATTAGCATGTGCCACTAGTGTGGAGCCAGGCCGGGTCAGCCTGTATTTCCATGCAGTCTGACCAGGCGCGATACTTTTGGTAGCTCAATTCTGGTACTTTGATATTAAAACCCCTTAAACTTTGAATGGACTGTTCTGAAACTTTGAAGGGACTGTTCTTTAACTTTGAATGGACTATTCCACTTTTCAAAACGGGGCAATTCCACCGCACAAATTCAGCAGGTTAGGGGTTCGAGTCTTTGTATGTTTGTGTGTAAATATAATTATATAGATGTTACTCTGAGATACGTTATTCCTCGTGCTAACTTTCAGACTTATGAAAGCACACCTCAGGTTTGTGGTTTTTCGAGTGTTTTTTTTTTTTTTTCTTTGTGTAACTTTTTCTCTCTTACCTATGTATATATTTTTTCATATCTTTGATAAATTTATAAATTATTATCTAATATTGCATAATATGATCGTGTATGAAATCATTTATTTCTGGTGTCATTGTTATGCCCCACTCAAATAGTAGAGGGAGGGGGGAGGGGGGTCTGTAGATTTGTCCATGGCAGTCCTTCTGTCATGGTCTTTGGTGGTAGTCTTGACAAAACAGTCTGGTTTAAAGAAACACTCGGCAAGAAAATTTTCGCAACGTTTGATAAGTTTTTTCGCCATTGATTTATAGGGAAAACGACAAAGAAAGATTCTAGAATAAAGTGATTTCATACTCGGTCAAGCTTTCCTGACAGGTCCACTTTTTACCAGATATTGTAAAATCAGACATTTTCTTGAAGCACGTATTTTGTAGAATCGTCATTTCTGATTTATTCACAAGATGCAATTTTTGTGAAATTCTATTGTCAGTTCTGAAAAATCAGTGTGGTAAATATTCAAAGCGAATATTTTTTTTTATGAAAATTTTCAATTGTGAATAAAGCAAAATTTAATCCCCCTGAGAAAATTTCTGATTTTATGGTATTTGCCTCTTGTTTTGTACTTTCCCTCTTTTATAGAAAGTAAGCTGGGTGCATTGTTTTGAATGATTTATAACACTTAATGGGTGTAAAATGTTTTATAATTTTTTGATAGATAATTGATAAATTAATTGTTTTTAAATGTTCAGCTGTGGTCAGGGTATAAGTTTGAATATTTGTATTAATGTTGAAAGAAAAGATTATTAAGTTGAGGGTTGTATGAAAAGTTATTCAAGTAGTTGACACCTCAAGTAAAAGAAAGCAGAAGGTGAAGCACATTAGCAAAACAGTTATGCTTGTGATATGGGAATGAAACAAAAGTTAAAATTTTTAAAATTAAATTAAATTTTTTCTTTGATCAATTCTTTCAATTCATATAATTCTTCATGCATGCATGCTACTTTGAAATTTGACATTTTATAGCTTTTAAATCATATAAAAAAAATATGTTTTTTGTTTCCTATCTTTTATTCTAGAACATTCCATGAAATGGTTGATATTATTTATACCTTTTTTATAACAAATAAAAGTAAAATTCTTGTATTTTTTGGTGACTTGATGTTAAGTTCCTATAATGACAGTGAAAAAGGATTTTTTTTCTTCAGCAATAAGTTATAAGCATCAGCTTTATCCAGGATCCCTTTGGGTTGTAGTTTTGAGTCTTAGATAACTTATTGTTGACTGGATAACTAATTGATGATTAAATAACTTATTGTTGACTGGATAACTAATTGATGATTGAATAACTTATTGTTGACTGGATAACTAATTGATGATTAGATAACTTATTGTTGACTGGATAACTAATTGATGATTAGATAACTTATTGTTGACTGGATAACTAATTGATGATTAGATAACTTATTGTTGACTGGATAACTAATTGATGATTAGATAACTTATTGTTGACTGGATAACTAATTGATGATTAGATAACTTATTGTTGACTGGATAACTTAGTGCAGATAATCATCTCTGCATATAGACAAAAGTCTGTGGCGGATCGATGTTTAAAAAAAAAAATTACTTCAATTTAATTTCAAAGGCTGTGTTCATAACAATAACAAAAGAAAAATGTATGGGAAAACAAAAAGTGCTGTATTCAATCTCTTAACCTTTAACTTAATGCTAGATATTGGTCTATAATAGATATACTTGTAGAATAATACACATCAACTTGTCTTTTTCTGGCACTAGATTGATGAATTTTATATCTAGAACATATCTTGTACATTATTTCTATAACAGTTAATATTATAGGTCATCACTTTAGTGCAGTAACGGGTTAACTCCTTATATGTATGCCGTATGTTAGTATTCAACAGTGCTGTTCTACAAAAATTAGAAACTTCGACGGGAGTGATGGCCACTGAAGAATGTTTCTAATTTCTGTAGAACAGCTACGGATGAATACTTATAACATACTTAGTGTCAAGCTAAATAGAAGTTAACCTGTTACTGCTCTAGATGATGATTTTATACCACCTTACTATTGTAGATCTATGTAGTTATTACTATCTATTTCTTTAAACCAAAAATCAGGCAAGTTTTAAAATATATGAACTAGTTACTAGTAAACAATACACAAATTTTTAAAATATTTTTTGTCATTTAATGTTATCTTACTCAAAGTAATGTTCAGTTCATTCAGTGTTTAATCAAGAGTTTATGAATATATATTTGTTAATTGATTATCCTCAGCTTTTTCTCCATTTTTTACCTCTTTAATTGTCCCCTAAAACCCTTGTTAAAGTGGAAGATTCCCGCCCAACCCTGATGGTATTTTTACACTTGTATTTTTGTTACTGTACTGTTTTTGTACATTGTCCCCATTACATTGTGAAGCCATTTCCACCCAGGTATTATACTATATCTTAAATTTCAATTTTTGTTAATCTAATTTTAATATTGTAACGAAAAAATAATAATAACTTGTTAAAGCAAAGTTCTTACAGTTTTACTTATATATAGACCATAGTTGTGTACAGTATAGATAAATATATAGATATCTCATAATATATTTATTATCATTTATTTAAATTCTAGCAAAGTACAAAAATAATATTTTATTATAAATTATTATCTCTTAAACTAAGCAATGTAATATATTGAATTAACTAACCCCTTAAACCTGTTGAGACAGAAAGTGATTTGCCTTTGCCACCAGTATAGAGCCAGGCCAGCCTGCACATCCATGCAGTCTGACCAGGCTCTATACTTTTGGTAGCTAAGTTTTTGTATTTTGATGTTGAAGTCCCTTAAACTTTGAATGGACTGTTCCAAATTCAAAGCAGGGCAAATCCATTATACAAATGCAGCAGGTTTTGGGTAAATACTTGATGTGATCATGTGATCAGATTATTTGAAAGTTAAAGATGTATTTCTGTAACTTTTGCAAAGTCAGTAATCTGAAAAATAATTATTCAGCAACTCAGATGCAAACTTGTTTTGCTTGCACTGTCAGTTGTCTTAAAATTTTATTTAGGAAGTCGGGTACATGCAATTTTGAAATATATATATCTGAATTGTGTATATAAATTGCTGTTTGTGATAATGCGGTATGGCAAGTCAGTTTGGCTATGTTATGTTATATATATAATTACATTATATATAAATGAAATGGCTTGAAGTACGTACTTATTACATTGCAATGTATTAAATCAATATTACAATTTGTTTAATAACATATTTATAATGCCAAATATAAAATTTCTTCTATAAGAAATGAAAGATATAAGTTAAAGCTAATTCCATCAGTTAGAAAAAGTAAGTTGTTTTAGATATATGGTACATTAAATCTATTTATAGAGGACTTTATTTGTATTTCATGTTATAAAGTATTGTAATTATGTTGAATGATTTTTCAGGCATATGAAGCCAACCCTGCCACAGACAAGAAAGCCACAGCTGAAGACCTTATTAGATACACTAAGCCTATCACCCAGGCAACAGCGAAAGCCGTTGCCGCGGGTAACAGTGGTCGTCAAGAGGAAGTTATTGTAGTTGCCAACATGGGCAGGAAAGCTGTGTTCGATCTACTAGGTGTATCCAAGGTGAGTTGCTTGGTGTATTCAAGGTGAACAGTGAACATGGTAATGTTGAACAGTGTGAATAAAGTAAAGTCATTAAATGCATAGAGAGCCTTTACTGTTCACTGTTAATTGTTTAGCTCAATAGGTAGTGTTTGACTGTCATTTGTGCAACCTGGGCGTATTCCCGAACAGGTCGGTCATTCTGTACGGATAGATGGTTCTGCTTGTGTGCTTAGCGGCACCTGATGCCTTTCTTTCACCACTAAAGCAGGAAAGCCACACAGTGACCTTACACATTGTTGGTGTGATTTTAAAACAAACTAAATTCATACACCTTTTATGCTGAAAACGTAAAAGTCATATCTTGATATAGTCATATAATCATTTATGTTATTGTTGTATCTACAGTAATATATGTGTATGAAAGTATAAAATCTTTTGAAAGAAATTGATATTAATTAGATCAAGTTACAACCATTAATATAGTGTATAGAAAATTAAGTCCTTTCTAACATAATCATACATGTATAATGTTTATATTTGTTGTATACAGGCTGCTGCAGCATCAGCAGAAACTCATGATGTTAGAAGTAAGACTGTACTAGCTGGAAGTACATGTGCATCTGCATATAAAAGACTACTGGAACAAGTCAATGTGGTATGTTATATAAACATAATAAAATAACACACGATCGCTGTGGGTTGGGGGGTAGGCATAATAACATTAATAACGTTATAACATTGGCTTGGGGTTCGGGCCATAATAAGTCATTGTGATGGGCCAAAATAGAAATAGCACACATTTGCTTTGGGTGTTGTTGGGGAGGGGATTTTTTAAAACAATGTACATAAATTTTGTAAACATAAAAGAAATTGTTTCTACAAGACATATCTGTCCGATTCAATAGTAGTAATGGTACTGGATTGAAAAATTATTTTCTTATTTGAAGTTTTGACATGAAAACATTATATTTTGATGTTAGCTACTGAGCATAACTTATGAACAATTCATTTTTGCAAACCTTTTAATATTATGAAATAAAGGGTTTTTAAAGCTCTAATGGCATCATTTCTGGATATATTGAATATTATGACATGGTTATGTATGTTTTTATGGCCCTGCTAGTTTGAGGCAGGCATATAGATCAGCCCTGGTCCGTCTGTCCATACTGCTGTCCATTATCAGTTTTGGAGATATCTTGGAGATGAAAATTTTAAGATTGACAGCTGACTGTGTTAGAGTCTGGTGAGACTGAACAGTCTTGCACTAGGCTGAACAGTCATGCACAAGGCTGAACGGTAATGCATGAGACTGACCTGGCTCTGTACTGGTGGCAAAGGCTTTACTAGTTTTTCCAGCAGTGTAAGCGATAACAAATCAACATTGTATGTTACAGGTTTTACAGAAACCGTCAGTAGAAGCTAGGCAACAACTCACTGTCTTATCTAGAAATGTAGCTACTGCAGTATCGGAAATCGTTCATGCTGCCGAGGCTATTAAAGGTATGTTTTCAATCTTCATATTTGTATTAAATGTTGGTTTCAAATCGTAATTTTTTGCATTAAAATGTTGATTTTCAATTTGATATTTGTGAAACACGGGTTGATTTTAATTACACTTTTTTCCTTTGTATTTTATATTGATTGTATTTATGATATTTTGATACATGTCTTTGTACAGTTTGTTTTGTTTACAAATGTTGATTGCAGTGAAGATTTAACATATTTTTGAATCTGATTTTTTTTTTCAATCCATCTTAATTTATAGTCTAAAAAAGGAAATACAAATTTGGCAATATTTTACTATGTGTTTTTTTTTGGTTTGGAAACTAGACATATTTATATGAACACTATGTTCAAATAATTGTCAGCTAAGCATTTTGATCAAGGTAAAAAACTTTTGTGTTACAACCCTGATGGCGATAGTTTTGATTTTTTGAAACATCCTTAAACAAAATGGTAATGGTGCGCACCAATCCTGCGATTATAGGAAACAAAACACATGTATTCAATGTATTTGTTATAAGATAGTTAGTTATTTTATCGGTCCAAGGGTTTTCTGGGTTAATTTTGCATCCATTTATTCCTTCGTTACTGTCTTTAACATGAGAACGGTTTACTTTTACGTAACAACATAAATCCCTCTAAAATCTTTTGTGTCAGCAATTATGAAGGTTACTTAAACTATGTTGGATGGTTATCTATGAGGAAAAAGTTATTTATGTAGATATTGACTTCACTTTCATGTATATAGTACACTTATTATCATAAATTATGTTAAAATATTTAGTTCTCATCTTCATTCACATAGATGTCATGAATTGCACATTTCTTAACTTTCTACATATTATAAATATCAATATGATGCTACAATAAATTACAGTACGACTGCCAGAATATTGAATTTTTTTTTCTGTAAGTTCAGATTTCTGTAAGTTCGGATTTCTGGAAGTTCAGATTTATGTAAATTCAGATTTCTGGAAGTTTGTTTTCTGTAAGTTCAGATGTCTGGAAGTTCAGATTTCTCTGGAAGTTCGGATTTCTGTAGTTCAGATTTGAACAATGGATCTTTTTTTAACACATCAGATATGATTTAATGAAATTGGAAAAAATTGACAATTTAAAGGAACTAGATTAAAACGTTTTAATTCTCTGCAATGTTGAAAACATGTAATATTATTTTTTGAGATCATATTTAATATTTGGCAGTCATACTGTAATTGGAACACCATTGTTTAGTTTTCATACATATTATATAAGTTAGTTTATATTCTTTAAAATGCTTCTTGATTTTCACTGCATACCTTATTGTTTTATTTCTCGACTCTCGACTAGATATTTGTTATACCTATATGCTATATATATGCTGTTAATTTTCTATTTCTTACTTCACCAGTTTCTTTGTATTCTAAGAGCTCTGGTATCGTAATTTTTTAACACTACTGAAAATCATAAGTAATTAAGTCTTTGCCACCAGTATAGAGCCAGGCCAGCCTGCACATCCGTGCAGTCTGACCAGGCTCTATACTGTTGGTAGCTCAATTTTTGTATTTTGATATTGAAATCCCTCAAACTTTGAATGGACTGTTCCAAATTCAAAGCTGGGCAAATCCATTATACAAATTCAGCAGGTTAAGGTTTTATAATTCTGAAAGTGCTTTTGACACTCTTTTTGTGCCTAATAATTTTAATTCAAGCTTCAGTTTCGAGATATGGTATATTAATTAAGATATTACTGATCATCTTAAAATAAGTTTTATTTTTAGATATTTGACTGTTAAAAAATTTGGCAGAGTAAAAAAAAAAGGAGGTTTTACTATTTATTAAAGTCTAAAATTTCAGTTTGCACTACTTTAATAATGTAAAAAAACAATCAAGATAAGACATTTTACTAGTTTCCACTTTAATGTGTCTTTGTCAGAAACCAGTTTATTATACCTTGAGCTCTATTAGAATAACTTTCATACAGTTTTCTTCTGTCAAATCTTGTTATCTCTTTTGTTCTTCCGTCTTGCACACTGTTTTTGTTCCTTTTTCTGCAAATAGAGTTATTTGTTTGCTTTTAATGCTTTTATTTCTTTTGTTTCTGACCCCATCAGCAAGTTACAGGATGAACCCATTCTGGCCCTTAAACCGGCAATCATACTACGAAGGTTGGCCCCTTTTTTCGCATTTCTCCATTTTTGAATTTATTCCTTTCCCGACATTCCCCTTGTTTTCCTGTAACCGATTCACCAGATGAATTTTCTATATACATGTGGAAACAAAAAATTTTTTCACATAATTTATCTAATAGGGATGTTTATCCTATATGTATAATGTTAGTGTTCATCCGTGCTGTTCTACAGAAATTAGAAACTTCAGCAGGAGCAATAGCGACAGGAAAATGTTTCTAATTTCTGTAGAATAGCTATGGATGAATACTAACATACTTGGTGTCAAGCTTTATTTGTCTTTCATTACATCACAACTATTTTTAGGAATGTGGTTCTATGAAGCACTGTGAAAAATAGAAGCCTACTATGAACAGAATTTGATATAGTATCGACTTTTGTCCTTCTATGAAAATCAACACACAAATTTTTTAAGAAATACAGTGTTTTCATCAGATGACAAATAAAGCTTGACACTTATTAAATGGTCTTGTCCAGTTTCCATTTTGGAAGTGTCCATTATCATATTGAGGATATCAAGGGAAAATTACTTTAACCATATTTCATTGCCTATTCAAGTATACAGTGCCTGCTGCACAGTAAATGGGCCAATTTTTCAAAAATACATGTAATGCAGGCTTTTTCCAAAAATATATTGCATTTTCTAATATTTTTTTGTGTTTTTACAAAGGACTTATTGTAAAGCAAATGTGCCCAAAATTTTTTTGGGATAGCATTACCCAAAATAAAGATACAGACATTTTTATACCCTAAAAATGTCCATTTTTACATGTAATGTGTTAGCATCTGTTTTTTTGGTGTTTTAAGAATTAACACCACTATTATCTGTTTTAATTTATCACTTAAATTTTCTTACATGCACATAGAAAATTTAATAACCTTTCCAGTGATATATAATGCTTGGTATACATCATCCTGGTTTTTATCGTTAAGATGATTTTAGTAAAATCAGACTTTTGTAATGCATCAGTTTTTTCAAAATTCAGTTGTTAAGTAAACAAGTATACCTTTAAGCAGTTACAAATAAAATAGTACTTTATTGTCTCAATCTAATGAAATATGAATTAAAAACATATGTTAAGTGCTTTCAATTCAAATTTTCAAACATTTTTACCATAGTAGGCATTATAGTGGTAAAAAAAATTTTGTGATGAAAAAACTGTAACATCCGTCCCCCTCTCATAAAATATCCAATTTTAAAACAATACTCATAAAAAACAATGTTTCTGGTGCTAAATGATAGCCTTACAATGAAAATGTTACAAAAATTGCCAATTTCTATGCTTATGAGAAAAAAAAATACAATAATGTAAAAGTTGTCTGTAACATCCGTCCCCGTAACATCCGTCCCCCTATATAAGGTGCTTATTAAATCTCATATAAACTGTAACTGAAAAGGGAATTTTACACTAAAACATCAAAGTTACATTGAAAAATGAAGAAATAACAGAAATAAAGCACTGAAAATGATGTATTTATGAGAAAAAAAATATTTGTGAACACTAAATTCCTTAATTTTGAAAAAAAAATCAGTATTTTTTGCTCTGAAATCAAAATTATTTACTTTGAAATAAAAATTTATATGTTATTTTTTAACCTCAAGTGGACCAATGAGTTTATTAAGATAATATTTAAGCTTATATGAATTTATAACAAATATAATCTTTTGTCATTCTGTGTTTACAAACTAAGAGTACAGAGGGGACCGATGTTACAGAATTGAACTAAAAATTCTTTTTACAGTAATACAAAACTTATCTTGTTCTTATGATGCATGATAGAGAAGTAGTAAGCTTTGCAACTGTATAGGAATGTTTCACACAACAAATAAAATACAATTTAAAAAATAATAGAAGAAACAAACAAAAATCCATAACAGGATATATAGAAAAAGGTGCAAACAATAGAGATGTTGAAAGTATCTTTGTGATTAAAATTGGTCAATTGTTAAAACATAAATTCTTTAGCCTTAAATAGTTTAACAATCCATGTATCCCAGCCCCTCATAAAACAGTGGGATATGGATCCTAACTCTATACACACAGAAGGGACTGGCACTTTATTGGAAGTTAACAAGCTGTATATTGGGAGCTGTGTATATTGTATATTGGGAAGTGTGATATATTACAAAACAGTAGGGGTGCCAATTAAGGGTGATATATATTATGCTTAAAAACAGTGGGAGGGACTACCATATCTTATTCAAGAATGTCTGTCATTAAGTATTAAAGTTGAAGATCAATTAAGTCAAAAGGATTTATTGAACTTCAAATATTTATAGGCTAAATATGTGGTCAATGAAAAATAAACAAAGAAATATAATTCAACACCCTGATTAAAATTTTTAGATTTTTTCCCCAAAAAAATCTCAAGCACATTTTCATACAATTTGACCCATTTAATTATTGTTAATAAAGTGAAAGAAACTTGTAAGTAAAGGATATGGTAAGGATTCCTGTAATTAAAAAGTTGGGGATAATTGTGAAAATTATTCTGTAAAAAATTATTTTGCACCTATAAATTTTATTGAATGACAAATTAGTTTATTAAGTTAAGCAGTTCATGTACACTGAAATATTTACACAGAGAATTATTAAAAGTTAGAAATAATGAGATTATGATACTGAATCATAATGAAATCTTTGGATAATGCTGCTAACATTCCACATTAATTTACTTAAAATTTCATCAGATCGATATAACTTAATTGCAGCAATTTAAAATCTTATAATTTTTAATGAAAATTTTTAATTGAGTATAATTTATGCATTTAGAAATGAGAAATTCAAGCTTGCATATGTTTCAATCTGAAAACTTCTTATTTACATCACACTGTATCATATCTTTTACAAATATATATCTTATTATTTAACTTAAGTAATTTGTAAATAATTTTTATGTATAGAAAGGTACCGTTGGTATGACATTCTCTCTTTAACATGAATGCATTATCTGGAAACAAAGATTCTTTTATTTAATAAGCAAAGTTTTTATTATATTCAAAACATTTCAATGTTCATTCAAATGTAAGATAAATGGAAGAAAACTAAGTCAATGCAACTTTTCATTGTGAAACACAAATAGTAAGAAACTACATAATTGTCAGGTATATTTCTACATTTTTCTCATAATTTTGTTCAATTATTTTACATTTATTGTACTGTACAAAGCATATACTCTTATAAATTTCATTACTTTAAAATAAAACCAAAAAAAGTATGAACTAAGAGCTTTAAACATCGATTGTAACGTCCGTCCCCCCAAAAATGTAACATCCGTCCCCCTGATACAATTCATTTTTGGGTTATCTGACAAGAAATATACATAACAAAGTCCTATAATTTCTACTGTTTTATAAGAAATGTGTTTGCATATTTGATTTAAGTATGATTTGGTGTACCTGTCCTTTTTTTTTCTTTCTGTTTCTAACATGTTTTGAAAATTTAATTTTGTGTGAAAAATACTGAAAATTTGAAAGCAAATATTTTTATATCTAAGATGAATTTTCTGGATTTTTTTTTGTAACATTTATCAGAACACATAATATTTTAATAAAATAAAGAGAAATAATACAATTTTTATTATAAACTGTAAGATATTCAGACTTTTAGTATATCTTTGTAACATCCGTCCCCTACCCGCACAGTCTGCAAGAGATGTAATATTTTGAAAAAGGTATTCAAAAAGTTATCCTTTCTTTCCAAAAATATTGTTATAGACACCTTAAGGTACTTAAAAAGAGCAAATATTGTCTTGTATGTTTAACTTTATTTTTTGACTTAGATGCTAACACAATTGGCCCATTTACTGTGCAGCAGGCAACATGCAAATGTACACACAAAAATAACAATAAAACAAAAGCAAATGGGTTGGGCATTTCGAATAACATTACATCAAACCCTCTCCCAGAAGATGAAAATTGAAAGTAAAGTCAGCCAACAGTATAGAACCTGGTCAGGCTGCATGGAAGTACAGGCTGGCCTGGCTCTATACTGGTGGCAATGGTTACTCGGTGTCAGGTTAGGGGTTAATGTTCATCTGGTGAATCAAAGATAGATTTTTGGAATGATTTTTGGAATGCAATATATCGGCACTAATTGATTGTTTAGCAATTTTTGCTCTTACTGAATGCTCTCCCTTTGTAGCATTTTTTGCTCTTACTGAATGATCTCCCTTTGTATGATATGCAAACTGCATGGTTTTGTAGAAGCAGCAAAGTTTTAGCAGTTTTAAAACTAGTATGAATGCATTCTTATTAACTCATTTTGTGTCATTTGTTTTTGTCATTTATGATATATTTAATGAAAGTGTTTTCATTCTCATACTGGTCTGGTGAAAATTTGACTTGGTAGTCAGTGACCCAAGATTTGAATAGTGGAATATTATTGGTTGGTCCGAGGAGTAACCAATCTGATTGGTGATTTTGAAGGTCGTTATTTTCAAAGTAGGCAGTTGGTGATCAATGTGATATGTTAGCTTCCATTGCTGTTTGTGGCCAAATTATATTGATTCATAAATAAAGAGTTGAATAAAATATATGTGGGTAAAAAAATTGTTAGTTTAAAATATCATAAGCCCATATTCTGCTAGATTTATGTAGTGTAAATGTAATGAACCTTTGTCCTGCTATGAATTTGGAACAGTCCATTCATAGTTATAGGGATTTCAGTATCAAAATACTTAAACAGTTCTGCCAGCATTATATAGATCCTGAAACATGCAGGCTTGCCCCGCTCCAACCATTGCAAACCTTGGTCAGTTGCCAAATCCATGCTTTCACTTTTTGGTATTGAGTCGGTTAATATTTTGAAATTTTCTCTGAAATTGGGAGATTGACAAGCCCATTTTAGACTTTTAGCAGGGTATGGGTTCAAAACCATTCCTAGAATACAATAGCATTTTTCTTGGCATATAACATTTTAACTTCCTTCGATTTGCTTATAAGATACTTTAGGGTAGTGAATATTTCTCATATTTAT